GAATTTAGTGGGAAGGTTTGAGTTGGGCATTTTTGGGTGTGTGCACACTTCATTCTGGATATTTTTTTTCTATTTGTTACAGTACTCTGATGAGTGATGTGTTGAAATAGGGTGAGCATTAACTAAACATTTTATTGTGCCTCATTCTGGGCTCTCCAGCTCAAGGAAGACAGGCATCTACTGGAGAGAGTCCAGCAGAGGGCTACAGAGATGAGGTGGGGCCTGGAGCATCTCCTGTGTAAGGAAAGGGTGAGACCTGGGGCTGCTCAGCCTGGAGAAGGGAAGGCGGAGAGGGGATCACATCAATCCTTGTGTCTGAAGGGTGGGAGTCAATTGGACGGGGCCAGGCTCTTTTTGGTGATGCCCAGCAACAGGACAAAGGGCAGTGGGTACAAAGTAGAACATGAGAAGAGCTTTGCTGTGAGTGTGACAGAGCACTGGAGCCGGCTGCACACAGGGGCTGTGGACTCTCTTCCTCTGGAGGTACTCAAAGCCCACCTGGATGCTCTCCTGTGCGACTGCAGCAGGGAGCTGCTGTAGCAGGGGGTTGGGCTGGGTGGTACCCAAAGGTCCCCTCCAACCTCTACTATTCTGTGAAGCATTTACTTCTCATCTCAATACCAGTGCAGGAATCCTGATGTAATTTTTCAGCCCTGTGTAGAAGCTCTCTGTAATGGTCATGAACTGAAATATTAACTGATTCCTTTAGGCAGGAGGGTGAATTTGGAGTAAATTGCCACTGTCTCAGCTGAATCACTCATGGTTCTGTTACATGCCACATGCAGTCCAGCTGGTGGATGTACTTCAAAGCCACACTGTTTCTAAACCATGGAGTTAGTTCAATTTCTGCATGATCTCTTGTGACCTCTGTCTCAAGCCGCTTTAAGCCAGAAGCTCTTTGCACCTTGCTGTAGAACAGGAGCTGTGAACATCCTCTTTGGCATCTGGTTCGGTTGTTTTGAATCTGCCTCGTGCAATAGCAATAAAGTTGTTGCAGCTCCGAAAGTTCCTTTGGCTTTTTCCACTCTGCTTGCGGAACACCGAGAGCACATCAAGGGGCAGTGATGCCCCCTGATGCTTGCAGCTGGGAACTGGAGCTGTATTTTGTTCTGTGAATTTAAATCTGATTTCATCTCTCAGCACCTCAGCTTTGCTGTGCAGGAAATTGAAAATATATTATTTCTCTTTTTCCTGGCAAAGCAGCTTTATCAAAAGAAAGTAGCAGTTTCAGTTGCTCTGAAATAACCTTTGTTAATTTTATATTCCACATTAAAGCAGTTAATAGAGTTGCAGAATTTGTTTTAGCAGAGCACTGTACTGCTGACTCATTTTGTATCTTCTCATATGTGACGCAGTCCAAATGGCGCTGTCTCATGTTTTAAACTTAAAGTGGCATTGAAATGTTTTGAGTCTATAAAAGAGCAAAGGCTCTGCTCGTGTATTGATGGAAGGCAGTGTAGGTTTATTGAGGAGAAGGTGACGGTGTGTGGAGCCATCCAGGCATGCTGGGGTGGGGAGCGTGGGGTGTGCTGGTTGCAAGAAAGGTAAAGGATATTACCACAGGTAGCAGCCTGGGGGAAGTGGGTGTCACACTGAATGAAGAGTTTCCAGGTCATCCCGTGGAAGGGAGTGGAGGTGTGCTGTTGGGCTTGGCTGCATGCCGGCTACCCTGCTGTGCCCCAAAGCTGTCCCATCAGGGCATGAAATGAGAAGCAGTGTAGCAGGTGGGAAGGTTTCTTGGAGGGCATGAAAGCACGTCCTTAAGATGTGATTGGAAAATATACTGAACGCAGTCCTGGACAGAACATGCAGATCACTTTTTTGGACAAAATGGAGTTCAGCATACAGGAGCAGCCCCACACTGGGCTGTTGCTGGGTGTCCTCTGCCACAAGAATGAAGCTGATGTGGCAGCACATCAGCCCTGCTGCTGGGAGGGAACCCTGCGGGCTGTGTGCTGAGCAGCTGCCCCCCATCCTTGTCCTCCAATTCAGGTGAAGTTACTGCTCCAATAGCTTCATGCACTGGATGGAGGTGGGCAGGCCACAGGGAGTGGGGCTCCTTCAACTGCATCGTGGCTCCTGCGTAACACCTGGGGTGCCATCGGAGGCTCCTGGCTGTGGCACCTGGCTGGATGCTGTGTGGGAGGCCGATCAGGTTATACCTGAAGTGCCTGGGAGCTGCTGGTGGCTCTGAGCTATTTCCTGTGCTGCAGGAACGTTCCAGTTTCTGCTCCCCATCCTGCCTTTGAAGATGAGGGGTTGTTTTGTTCTGTGAAATTTGCAGTGTCAATTAATCAGCGTGCCCCAGGGGAAGGAGCTCTCAAATGGAGTTCAAAGATGCTGAAGGTGTGCTGCGAACAAGCACTGAGATACTGACCTGCTCTTAAAGTCCAAAGACTTGGGGTTCTGCCAGCAAGACGTGCAGCACCTGGCTGAGACTGGCTGTGCTTCTATAGCCATACAACAGCACAATCCACACCATCCCTCCCTGCTGTAGAAGAGGTAACTGCGCTCTGCCTGCACCTGTCTGTGACCACGGACAGCTGGCCCACTGACAGCAAGAGCAGCTGGAATGAACTCCCCTGGGTGCCACTGTGAGCAAGTTCTCATGCAGTGCAGGTGAGTGGATGTGATGGAGAGCACACACCTGGAGGGAGGGGTCTGGCCTCCAAGGCCAGTGGAGGGGCAGGTCCTTGGTTCAGCCAGGTGCCAGCAGCACCGTGTGCTACCTTGCGCTGAGGTTAAATCACAGCTGTGGGCACAGAGTGAGCAGCCAAGACCCAGCACTGCTTTTCCCGGGTCCTATTGACTCAGCTTTACAACAGGACCATTTTTGCATCCTGTCTTCAAAACACAGCCATAAAATTCACAGCCACCTCAACTGGGAGTGTCTTTGTGGCCTAATAATACATCTCTGTAGTCCTCAGCACTGAATGGAGAATGTGTTTACTTCTAATGTGATAAAAGGGAGGAAATACCTGTTTGATGGTTGTTTCTTCTTTCCCTTTTCCTTTTGTTTTCTTTAGAGTTTTATGGTGGGAACAACTTCCATTGGCTTCATTGGTTCCAAAACCACTTGGCAGGGTGGTCCTCCAGTATGGCCTGTGCCAGCTTCTGCTCTCTGTGCCACTATGAAGGAATGAAAGGAGTGGTCAAAGGCCCTGGCAGAGAGACACTTGATGCCACTCATCCCTCATAGCACCTCTTGCCTTAAATATCCATTTACCTGGATACGACTTCACTAAAATTTCAAAAATACATTGGAAGGGACAAAATAACAGCAGTGTACCATGGCCTGCTCTACTCCTTACCCAGCAGTCTTCCTTTAAGGGGAGAAAACTGCTACTTCTCCACTTGCACTACAGCAAGGGATTCACATCCCTGACTTAACCACTCACCACATGCCTGGTTATTGTGCAGACACTGGATAATGTTTTCACTCTGCTTCTTGCTGTGCTTACTGCCACGCAGGGACCACACTTCCCCTGGCTGCTCCTTCCACAGCAGCAGGCCAAGGTTAAGTTTTCTCCTTAGAGCACTCTTCCCCCTCATCGCTGTCCATTGAACAGAGGGGCTAATGCCCATCTCTGCCCTTTACAAGACCAGCAAAGTGCTGATTATTCAGATGAGGGGACGTTTGTTATTCAGTCTCTGCTGACTGCCTCTGAACGGCAGGGATACAAAGCTGTGACGCAGCTGGTGCAGGCCCTCCCCTGCCAGCCGGAGAGCGGGTTCGTTTGTAGACACTGCTGCAGTTCTTCATTTAGAACTTCTGCTCAAGAGGTAATTACAGCTGCTCTCTCTGTCATTTCCGCTTCAAACTGAGTCTGCCTCTGTTTCATCTGACGTTCAGCGTTTCTCTGATGCTTTCGGGAAATCTTCTCACCATGACAGGAACGTAACAGGATTATTTCCATTGCTGTTAAAAACTGGCTCGTTGTTGTAAAACTCTTCCTGCAGAAACAAGAAAATCTACCACAGGAGAAATACGTTTAATCAATGCAGTAAGCTGTATTTCTGCTACAGAAGGCAAGATCATCCCATTTAGTAAAATAATTCAGTTTCAGAAGGTATTGTCTTTCTAAATACATAATGATTCTATGATAAATACACTCAACTCTAAACTGCGCATAGACTCATAGAATGGCTTGGGTTGCAAAGACCTCAAGGATCACCAGGTTCCAACCCCCTGCCACTGGTGGTGCTGCTGCCACTCATCCAGTGCCCATTATCAGGCTGCCCAGCACCCCATCCAACCCCAGAACATACAGAGCTACAGTTAAAATGACTGAGATTGTCATCGTAGAAGTTAATGACCACCAATACCTGGCCCTTGTGAAGAATGAAGCAGCCTGGCACTTTGTTGGCTCAGTGCAACTGGCTGTAGTACAGAGCTCTCTCAGATACACAGCTGCCTCGCAGGAAGAGGATGTTTAAGAGCAAAACCCATCAATTGTGTTAACGGTGTTTTAGCAATTAAAAACTTCATTCTTGGTATTCTACTTCAAAACCAAACCCAAAAACCACACCAGAACTATAAGCTCAAAGAGGGTTGAAGCAAAAGTAAGAGTCCAGAAATTGTACTTTTCAGGAAAAAGACCTTTATTTATTTTTTTTAATTAACCTGAGAAAAGGTTTCACTGGAACAACATCCTTGATGATACTTCTGCAGCACTTGTGAGTATGATATAATTTATATTAAATGTGCAAAGAAGGCATTGGGGCATGTGAAAAGTTTTAATGCTTCATCTTGAAAATGGGAGCTTTGCCACAATGAAATACAAAACAGAAGTACTGCCTGAAAGAAAACAAAAACCCTACTGGTCCACCAAATAGCCTTAGTTTTAGCCTCATGAATTCGTCTGTAAACAGCAATAGCTGGTATTTTAAGTAATCTGATTACAGACTCGGAGTTAAACATTTTAATTGTTAGATGCAGCCATTTGTTCCCTTAAAAGCTGTGCAAACTAGCAATCCTTCCGTGCACACAGAAAACAAAATTCTCTGTGAACTAAAACTTACTCGTTTGTCATTTAAAAAACATGCCCATTTAGTTAATAATTAATTATTTTGAGCCAAAGTGTTCCATGACAAGCTAATATATTATTCATTCATCTTTGTACAGCACCAAAAATATTTACATCTGTTTTGTACAGGCTGGGGGGGTGAAGAAACAGATGGGCTGTGCAGTTTATTTGAAAAATGTTTATACTTGTAAATTGTTTATAGCAAAGCTATCGTTAATGGATCTGTTTGTCTTGAAGGTGCTTCCTTACCACGAGAACATACAACCCACAAAGTGATAGAACAAGTGATGACTGAAAGCATATTTCCTTTGTACCACCAAGGTATTTCATGCTATATATAAATGCAAAATAGATATTTCCATGTCTAAACAAAATCAGGATGCCAAACACGAACTCCATAACTGAACACAAAGACATGCGTTAAATTCTAGACTAAAACTGTATACAACTAAAAAGAAAAAAAAGAGCAGCAAGTTTTAAATACGTGTATGCTGTCAAAATAAAACAGAATTCAGACAGTCCATGTAGAGACCCACTTCAACCCATGCGTGTTTGCAGAGTTGTACTGACATCTTACAACTAACAGCTCTAACCACACAAATAAACCTCAAGTTCTTAAAGTTCATACACCTTTTTAAGGCTGTCAAGTTCTTCCAAAGAGTATTGATGATTCTGGTTTTCCGCAAGCAAAGCAAACAGTCGCTGAACCTGTTCTTTTTCGTTTTTGCTGAGAAGAGCCAACACCACCTGAGAAAACAGATTAGGTTATAATCAGCACAGGCAACTGAAAATCACAGCATTTGACAGAAATACAGCAATCATTTCCTACTGAAATATGAAACTCCTAAATTTCTGTTTGACTGAAGTACTCATTTAACCTAAGTTCTTACCTTAAATCTTTCTGCTTTGCTCAAATAGAAAAGATGCTGATATACAAGGCCAGGATCTTTTCCAAGGATGTAATGTTCCAATGACTGGATGAAAATCAAAAAGATTTCTCCTTCAAGCTTGTTACTTAACAGCATTGGCAGTTTTTTTGGATCAGTAATTGTTAGAAGATCTGCACAAGCAGACTGATCCTTACTGGTGTTCACTGCATTTACAATCTGACCAAAGTCATAGGCATTGGATGGTTCAGAAATCGTCAGTTTTTCACAGGCCTTTGATGGCACACTCTTCTGAACAACTTCTTCAGAGCAGACATCGCCAGCCACAACGTCTTCTGATGTCACAAGCTGCCCCTCTTCCTGTTCATCAGTTACCTTCACAAAAGAAATGGCATCAAATCATTAATTCCATACATGGCACGTGTACATTCAACAATAACATCGCTAAATTAAAGCTGGCATTTCACTCTTCACAAAGGCTTCTCTTTAAAGGCTTTACTCTTCATAAAGGCTCCTCTGTTCCTCTTTGTCCTTCTTCCCCCCAGAATGGTACAACCCTTGTTTATCCTTAAAGGTTTCTTAGTCAAAAGTCTGTATTTTGCATTTCTTCTCACTGCCTGGCATTCCACTGTAGAAAGACAAAGGAAGCACACTGGAAGAGAGCTAGGGATTGGAATACATATTTTAAATGTGAAGTTACACAACTTAAGCAGAACTGAAGTTCAGTTTCCACATACTTTTCATTTACAGCTTTATTTCATTGCTGTGACTTTAGAATAGCACAGGCACACAGCAGTTGCATCAGGTTGCTGTTTGTAACTTGCCATGGAAGTAGAAGGCTCATCATGGTCTAACAACTGCATTGCCACTTCTCCCCAGATTGTACAGATTGCTCTGTGCAGAGCTTCATCAATCGGTTGCTAGAAAATTAGCCTTGAGTTCCACTATCATACAATCCTTAGAATTGGAAGGGACCTTTAAAGGCCATCTAGTCAACTCCCCTGTAATGAACTGGGACACCACACCTAGATCAGATTGCCCTGATCCAGCCTCACCTTGAAAGTCTCCAGGGATGGGGCATCAACCACACCTCTGGACAACCTGCTGCAGTGCCAGCCACATTTACAACTACGTAACTACTTTTACTAAAGTCCGCTTCAAACTTTTAGGAGCTGTGGAGTCAGTACAAACCTACCACTACACCTCACTGAAAAGGGTGTCTCTCCAAAAACTTCATGTCAGGCCTTTGAAAATCTGAAGATGCAGCACTACACATTACAGTGCTGTGCTGGGAGCAAGCTTAGTCATTTCCGCAGGCATTGGGCTTACAGAGCTTTTGCTTTATTTTTAAATAATCCTTAGTATCAAGGGAGATATCTAGCTGTCTTCTATAAAATTATAGCTTGATTAAAATGGAATAATAATGATAAATCTCTTTCTAATTACATTTTCCTTCATTTTCTTTGCATACTGCTTTCATGGCATTCCCATGTAGGTTAGACAAGGAATGGTGTCTTAAAGTGGCAGCAGCAATTACAACAGCAAACATCAATGCTTCCTGCCCCAGCCCTGCAAGAATCACCTCTGCTGGTAATGTAGTCATCTCCAAACACTGCATTCACTGCCCAGAGCTCCTCTGAACACTCTCAGTCCCTTTGTCACAACTCACAGCTTAACTAACACTATTCCCAGCTTACACCATTACATCAAATCCCACAAACTTGTGACACTGGGAAATATATCAATAAAACAAGTTGTTGCTCTGTTAGTAACCACCATTTCCATTACACCATCATTTTGAAATTGCACAATCCAAATTACAGTCTCAGTTTAATAGCATAGACTGGAAACTATGTATTTTAAACAGGGAAGGGTAAAAAAAACATTCTTAAAGGACTATTGAAATTACAATTGAAAACATCAGGTGACTGAGAAAATCCCTTCACTACTTAATTCAAAAAACTGTGGAAAGCTATTATTTTGATCCAATAGATAATATTAAATCACACATTTCTTTTGCCAGACTCTGCAGATAGTCCACCTATGATAGTCCACCTGCTTTTTAAGGAGGGATCCTTCATACCAGTAGCTTTACTACCAGCACAAGAACAGCTGGCATGTTGCTGACAACCTTTGCCAGAGGTTGCCAGAATAGCTCAGACTTCAAAAGCAAGGCTGCTCTTGGACAGCCATATCCTGTAGAATTACTATTTCAAAATCTAAACAGTCTTTGATTATAAGGAGCACATGCTGAAGTTTCTTGCTGTCTAAATGTACTTTTTTCATTTCTGCTGTGGTTTCAAATGCATCTCGAAGCAGGCAAAGCTTTACTGCAGAACAGAGTGGATGATGAACACATTGTATGTGAGCATCCTCCAATAGGTTAAAAATACAACTCTGCCTAAAGCAGGTGTAGAGCTAAGAATTAAAACCCAAATGCTTTGGTATTATATTTGCAAATGTATGGCTTCTGTACTGCCTGCTTGTAAAAATGAACAGATATACCTCTTGTATGGTTATTTTCTTCCTTTGCTTTTGTTGACAGTCAGCGACAGCAGCACTGCTGGGGCTGAGCAGCTGGGTTATCTCCTCTAGTTCATTTTTTGCTTCAAGAACATTTGGATCTATTAGAAGTACCTTCTTGAGATCATTGACGCTGGCTTGATAGTTCTGTAAGTAAAAGGGAAATTTTTTTTTTCATAAACACACCATGGGAAAAATAAATTACAATTATCATACTGTCTTTTACTATTAAGAGAAATAGAAATGCTGAAATCTTCACATTAAGTAGACAAAAATAATCTAAATGCAGTGTTAATTTATAAAGGAAGAAAAAAAAGGAAGCCAAGGATGAGTTTGAATACTTTCTGTCTAAATACTTTCATATTAAATATATATAGTATGAATTAATTTATGCTCTGAAAAAACATTTCCCTGTGTTAGAAAACAGATTACTGGAGATTGCTGCTTTTAACTATAATTAACACTTTAATATCTTCTCAATGCAACTCCTTCAGCAGTTTGTGTACTTTGACAGTAGGCCTAATTAAACTTAAATTAAAACTATGCCTTAACTTCCTGGGCACCATTTCAATAGCTCATCTCAAATGGGCTGACACACAAAGAAATTCCTGGTAATACTTGGGAAGACTGAGATTACATGATGATGAATTCTAGGATAAATACAGAAGGACCAATACAAAGATAGAGTGACATTAGGACACAATTCTTCCAGAGTCAGTCTTGTCATTTATTTCATGCTTTCATTTCAAGATTTGACTTTCAGTATTATGCATTTGTATATTAAATTTTCTGGAGAGACAAAGTTCAGAGCAGCATCAGTTCTGAGGAAGGCTGAAAAACCGCATGGAATGAACCAAGTTAGCCTGGGGGCTGAATATTGAAAATAAGGGTAAATGTAACAGCAGACAGCAAAAGACTGTGCACAGAAAAGTGAGGGAGCTACTATTTCCTCTGTTCTCAATCAGCGTCTCAAGGTTATTAAGGGTCATATTATCACAGAAGACAAACCCTAAAAAAGCAATCCTCTGTTGCATCATCAGTTGACATCTTTCCTCAGCTTCTCAACAGTTATGAAACCACCAGTGCAAAAGACAGACATTCTCTTTTCTATCCAGAATATTTTGTTCAATACCAATTAATTGCATTCCAGGCGCAGAGAAATTGCATGAAGTCTGCGAGTGAACCAAGGTTTGCTGTATCATGAAAGAAGAGTCAAAGAATCAGAATTGTGCAAATGAATGCAGCAAGGGGACAGCTTGCCTCCTTCAGCAAACAGCTGTATTTGAGCTGAAACATTTCAATATTCACAACTACAGAGAAATGAGGTTCCAGAACAGACTTTTGACAGTGATTACATTGGCCAGCAAACAACCAGTTCTCCTAGGTTTTAAACTGCATCCTGGGCTATCGGGTGTAGGAGGTACAGTCCAGACCCATATCCTGTGTTACAGGCCTAATTCAGCAAACAAGTACCACCTTTATCCTGATCTTTCCTTAACTATATTTCAGTGAGTGCATAAAAATCATTAAATTTCACTGCAGCTTTTGTGATATAAATACTTGTTTATAAACAACACCTTCCAGCTAAGTTACATCTTGACAAAATAGATGCATCTGGCTCTTACTGTCTTTTGTTACAAAGTCATTTGTCAGTCCTAGATCACCTCTGTTATGGTAATGCTTTCCCTAGCATTACCATTCCCTCATCCCTAGATCTGGCCATCTTGAGAGTCCCTAGGTGCTCAGTTCTGAAAGAATCCATGAGCGCCGTGCCTCATGTGATGACAACAACTTCAGTGTGCTGATGGAAAGGGAAAGGCTGAATCCTCACACTGCCCACAGAGTGAGAAAGGAAATCACTGACAAAGATTTCCAATGCATTTGGAGAAGGAAAGTAGAAGAGAATGAAGATAATTAGAGTCCTGGTTTAATATGACAAGCACTCAAATATGTGCAGGTGCCAAAAGACAGCTTGAGATTTTAGTTTGAACAGATGAAGGCAGATCTGAAGAGAATCGGTATGTAATCAGCTAAGATATAGTGAACACCTTGCCAAAAAAAAATAGACTGGGACACACAGGGGTAAACTAGAACATTATAACAGAGTTTAAACCTGCTTAACTGCCTTTCTTCAAAGCTTATTTATTCCAATATTCCTTCTTTTCTCAAATTATTGTAAATCAACGTGCAGATCTTTATGTTCAAAAAATATTTATATTCTATATATGCCTAATGCTTTACATAGTAATACATCATCAGCACTGCATACTTTGCTTATGTTCATTGACTTAATTACCTGATGATTGACTTTGAAGAGGATAAGCAAGTTTAGAAGTACTTAAGGATATCTGCCATGTTCTTTTTCCTCACCTGTAATCCTTTGTATGCTAGTGCTCTTCTGTAAAAAGCTTTAATATTAGAATCTTCTATTTGAAGAACATGATCACAATCTTGCTTAGCCTCTTCATATTTATGCAGTTTCAAGTAACAGAGAGCTCTAACACAGAAAAACAGAATACACTGCAATATAAGTAAATTCTAGTGTACTATAATGCCCTCAGCATCTGACTCTCTGTAATGTTTATTACAGTATTTCACACAATATCAATATGCTGTTGTTGTTTTTCCCTTACAGTACATCTTTTCTTCCTTCAATACATCAAAATCAGTAAGTATTAATGACATCACTGGATGGACTTAGGGCCAATTCCAGTTAAAATTCAGGTATGAGTAATGCTTGAAGCTAAGCAGGTATACAAGTACTTTAAAAGCAGAGTCTATTTTAGCTTAATATGATAGTATAGTGATGTATATAATACAGATTCTATGCAGACACTCTGAGTAAAAAAGTGCTCTAGATTAAATAAGCAATACCATTTTCTGTACTTAATTATTACTTGGAAGTCTTCTATTCAGGTTTGGGCCTAGTAAAATCCTTCTTAGTTTGAGGAAGCTGACAAGATTACAGCATAAAGAATTATGCCAAAGAATTAGGTCAACCTTTAAAATAATGCTGCTGTATGACGATGCTTCTACTTCTATCTTTTCAGTACGCACATTTTCTCTACATTATTATTCTCCCTATTTGGTACACTGCAACTGCACCTTAGTCTGTAATTAATATCAAGTCAATATTCTCACAAAATTCTGCAAAATGCTGTGTTAATTATAACTTTTACTTCGGTTACTTTACAGACATCTTAACATCTTTATATAAACATCACTGACATTAATACTTGCTCTGCTTGGAAGACAACGTGGTTTAACCAAATATCAATTTTGTTACTAGAAATGCTCATCATGTGGAAAAAAAAAAAAGCTTTTCTTTACAAAAGAGGTTGAAGTGATGCAAAATCCTTATTTTCAGTGTGAAAATATAAGTGTCATTGTCCCACAAAGTGGGGTTAGATTTTAGATCTTTACCTGTTAGTGTAGATTGTGCAGTCCTTGGTATTTAACTTCAAACATTCACTGTATTTATTGACAGCTTCATCATATTTACCCTTCTTCACAAAATCATTCCCTTCGCTTTTTAATGTCCTGAACTTTTCCTCAGCTTTCTCACCTGCATAACGAAAGGATCACAGTGTTATGTAAGCAGGTCAGTTCATTGCAGGTAACTGAATCATCTACCCACACCAAGAATAACTGCCTGCCTTCTGGAGTATTTTTATCAGTTTGCACATTCCAATTTCTGTCCCACATCTTCCCAATGCTCTAAGAAAGGTATGAACCTACATACATGCATCTGACATAACACATAAGTTTCAATACACCAAGGTAACTATTTTTGCTGAAAATAATGTGAATGCAACAGACAACTCTACTTTCATCTTCTCCTCTCAACCTGCTCTTTGTGGTACAGAGGGATGAACCACTGAAATACTGGCTTTATTTACAGCAGTAGAAATGTAATCATTAGCACTAAAAGCCTTCTACATCTTCACCATCACACCAAAAAGGCCGTTATGTTACCTAATATTCTTTCTGCAAGAAACCAATCCATCACAATGTCTATGATAAACTGACAGTGACAATCACATCACTGGGGTTAGTGAGACATCAACAATATTCTGTTAATGACTTTTATGATAAAGATGTTTCAAGTAACTGGAAAACACAAAACTATACATATATATATATATATATATATAAGCGCTTTCTTCTTTCATAATTATCTTTCCTTCCACATCATTTGTTGCACATGCTTCTGAATTAGACCACAACTTTAATGTTTGCTATGGACAACCAAGCCTGACTGCACTTTCATGTCTCTTAAAGTAGACTGAGAAGTGTTTTATGTCAAAATCCCACAGAAACGCTCTGTGGAGACAGTGATGGCTAACAGAAAAGTCTCAGAACACGTTAAACATGATCTAAGGAAGAACTGCTATCTTTGTATCTTTATGATAATTTTCAAATTCTCTCTCTTCACAAAGTTATACAATGTTGTAGAGAGGAAAATTTAATCGTTCCTAGTTAACCTAGTTAAGTTAAAATGAAATTTAAAAAAAAAAAACAACAAATTGCACTCCCTGATAACAGAAAAAGCTCAGAGTACAACCACTGCAGTGTAAATACAAAAGCTTAGCTTGAAAATTTTCTTAATAGCAACACATTTGTGTAAAATATCAGTTTTCTACTTCATCTCAAAAATAAATGCTAAACTGTCCAATCCTTAAGTGATAAATCCGTAACAATATGCACAACTAACTGAAATGCTCCAGTCATTGAACATTTTAAAAGGTAGAGTAAAACTTTTATGAATTTAATTGAATTTAAATTTAATTTAACTTAATTCTCAATAAAAAAGTCAAATTCTCATAAATGCACACATGCATAAGCTGTCTGTTGCTCTCCATCAAGCATAAATAAGTTTAAGGATGACCTTTCAGATAGCGCTGAGGTCTTTAAATCCGTAGTGCCCAAGAGTACAGACTATTTGAAGGTATGCATTAATGCAATAATTGACTGTGGAGAGACAACTCTATCACTGCTACATATTAGGCCAGCAACATAATTATGTGGTGCATTCTCCTCTCTGTTAAACAAGCATAGATATAGATGCCCCATCCCTGGAGGCATTCAAAGCCAGGCTGGATGTGGCTCTGGGCAGCCTGGTCTGGTGGTTGGTGACCCTGCACACAGCAGGGAGTTGAAAACAGATGATCTTTGTGGTCCTTTTCAACTCAAGCCATTCTATGATTCTGTGATCTTCAGTGCTTATTTTCTTTACATAGTCATAAGACACATAAGGTAACCTTATTTAACCTTAATTAACAGTCAAGGAACCTTAATTAACAGCTAAGGCCGCTGAAAGAGGATTTAATATCAATAAGAGCAGAACTGGAGAGGCTCCTTCACCTGATTTACTGGAGCAAGAAAAATAAAAACTCCACCAAAAGGAAAAAATCAGAGGGAAGAAAGTGTCCTAACGGAAGGTAAGCACTCAGTGCGTACATGAAAAGACTCTGAACCAACATTTCTTAAGAGTGCTTACTGAATAGCCACTGTTGAAATTAAATTCTGTAGTAAAAAAAAAATCAGATTTTTTCTTCTGTAGTCCATTTCACTACATGCTGGCCACACAGAAGCCTACTTGTTCTGTTCTGAACAGCTGAGTAATATTTTTATCAACTATTAAATGATGGCTACAGATTATGCAGCTGCTTATGATACTTAGGGTGGGTTTCTGTCTAGTTTATTTTTTGGAGGGGAGAGAACTGTTCTAGCTGCTGTATGATGAGGTCAGGCAAACCAGTGACACTTGTGACAGGACTCAACATAATGCTGATGAGCATTTCTGCTACATTTTATATCACTTTAGAAATGACCTGCTGCAAACTACACTGCATCATTTGGCCTCCAAAAAACATTTACCATAACTATAGTTCTATAAAGTGCATCAAATCTAATCACATAAAAGATCATCTAATCTGACTTTTCACAAAGTTCTCCAATAAATATTTTTCGAAAGTCATTTCTTTACTATATTTAATGGTATTCCATTTTTTGATTAAAAGTACTTTCTAGTACATACTTATCTGCATTAGCTATACATACGATTCATCTGCAACTGTTCTTCTTTGTTGATATGTGTGGGACTGCATGGCTTAGCCTCTGAAGTAAAGTTGCCTCCATCCCACCTGTGTAGCTGAGCAGCAACAGGGACAACTGGAATCGGTGGCAGTTTTTCCCTCCAACAAGAACCATCTTGATCAATTAAAGTCTTCGTTATTCTGAAAAGGAAAAGCCCCATCAACATGACTCTTCATACACTTAATTCATGCTTTAATAACTTACAAATTAAATAATGCAATGTTCCAATTAAAAAAAGAAAAAACAAACACAAAACTGAACAATTATCCTTAAGATTATTGAAAAAAAACCCAACCACAACTGTCTTGGTAGTCAACACTACTGAATTTATTTATTTGATTCAGACTTTTTCCCTTTTTAAATCAGAGTACTTATGCTGGTGTGTAGGAGACAGGACACTGACATCAGCCAGATCTATAAAAGCAAATGTCAGATTTTGCAACCAAGCTCTAAGTGCTGCCTCAAACATGCAGTAAAGAAAGGGGGAGGGGAAACAGACATCTACGCTGCTTAGCTTTCTCAGTAGCTCATTGGTGTTATCTGAAACAAGAGTAAAATACAACGTCCTGAGACATAAGCATGGTACCTAAATTTGCCCATGTCAAACAAAATACAATTCTCTCTCACAAAAGTATTTTCTAAACAACCAGTACAGCTCACAAATTACTTACTAAATTACATGTCTTACAGCAGTCAGAAATTCTTCAATGGATTATTCTTCATCACCATTTAAAAATGCAAAGAAAAGTATATTCAAACTGTTCAGTCTCTCTTTAACCAACAGATTACAGATCATCTGTTTCTACACATGAGAGGTTCAATACAGAATACAGTTAACTGGGAGTTTCTCATTTCTGTGATAGGTTTTGGAGAAAGACCTAAACAAGTATGAATAAAGAATTCATGGTTTTCTTGCAACTTCTATAGTGATTTAAAAAAGAAACATACAAACAAAAAAAAACAGCCCAATCAAGCAACTATTAACATATGATGAGAATGCTAGTAATACAAGTGATATAAAAGCTTTCTAATAACAACATTAATTTAGGAAACAAGAGGTAGCTACTGTGATGTCTACTTTAGTAAAGAAAAACTTTCATAATTGTAAAGCAAGTCAAATTGATACTCTGTAAATCAATGAATTGAATTTGCATATTAGATGCATTTCTATCTAATGTAGTGCAAGAAAACACCCTATGCTAATTATCTGCCAAAAAATAAAATAAAATCTGGTAACCCTAAATGTGACTCAAATGAGACAAAATGAGCACCAATAACCCAGATAAAGTTTCCTTCCTTGTTTTTTCCTTTATAAAAGTTTCAATAATAATGGCTATAAAGTAAAAAACTCCTCAGTGCAATACACCGGCTGGAGTCAAAACAGCTGGCACCAAATTATTTTCCTATTAGGATCCAAAAGAAGAACCAATACAAGAAGCAGCTCTTCTAATATTATTTCACAGAACCACAATGTGGTTAAGGTTGGAAGGGATCTCTGGATCCATCTGGTCCAGTTTCCCTGCTCAAGCAGGGACAACTTGGGCAGCCCAGGCAGACACTGCTCGTAAATTAACACAGCATTTTAAAAAATAACACAGAATAAAAGCACTGTTTGTAAAGCTATACAGCGCATGATTTTATGTGCTATGTTGCATGAAACATGCCTGCTACATGCTGCATGAAACATACCATTTGGTATTGAAAGTAAGTTCTTAACACTACAAAATGTGATATTCTGTGTATGATCTAGCTATTTAATCTGTTTTCCAAGTGAACAAGAACATTTTTCTTTGTATTAACTGCATATACCCTTCCAGGGCTTTCCTCTATCTGGGTGATTAATAAGCAGTACTTTATAGGGTGACAGAGAAATTCTGTTTTGTTCTTATTCTACTAAAGCTTTAGGGTTTTTTTAAGCATCATTTGAATGCAAGTGTCAAGAAAAATGTGGCACACTGTCATAAGTTAGACAGCCCTAAGATTTACTCTGGTAATGTTATTAGAGAATAAAACTGTACACTTTTTATTAAAAAGTCAATTATTTATTTTTCTGGTTCTTCTCATAGAAAATAACAGAATAATTCTGTTGAGAATTGAGAGAAGTGGAATGACATTTCAATTTAATAAATGGAAATGCATGAACATACTGTCCAGCATGAAAGACACAACTGAAAATCATCTAACCATGATAAACACACAGTTCTTTATGCTTGTTTTCAGTTGACTTTTCAGAAAAATAAACACATTCTTTCTTATTTTACTTTGGTTGTAAAACAGCAGGTAAAGGCTCTATCTTAAAAATTCGACTCATTTTTAACATGAGAACAATCTCAAGTATCAGACTGAACAGCTGTTAGGTTTTAGGAGTTTTTGAAAGGCCGCTTAGCAGGTAAACACAGCAAGATTAGCCTTAACAAGATTTAGTGAGCCCACTTTCAGACAGAAGTAGGAAGATGAGGTTTTCTGTCAGTTTCCTACACAATCGCCATCCAGTTTCCTCCAGAAACTCAAGAACAAATAAATCCTTCAGTAAAAGCAGGTTGTTAAGACCTGACATTTCTAAAAAATTCAAAGATCTATTTTGAGGTTGTCCCACAAAGTTAAAGGGCTGTACAGTACCTACAATTCTTTGTTAAAAGTCATTTTTCAAGGTGTATCACTTCAGAAATAAAAATTGATAGTTTGGTCATCGATTACAGGTTAACTTACAAGCAATAAAATACTCAAAAATAATTTATATTAAAAATTCAGTAATGCAGGAGGTCCACGCTCAAGAAAGTAAGAATTTGCAAGCAAAAATTAATTACCAGCAGAAGAGAAGACAAGAAGGAAGAAGCAGCTGAAATAAGGTGATGGGTTGCCAGGGAGGAAAGAATAATGAGCAGTGAAGCTAAAAACATAAGGAAGGCCTAGAGAGGAGAAAAGGAAGAATGTTAAGGGAAAAGAAGGAAATAAGCTTATTACTAAGCAAGTTACAAGTCATTGTCAGAAGAAACCAAAAAAAGAATATCTGCAGGTAAATAAGCCAAGAAGATTTAAAAAAAAAAAAAAAAGAAAGGTATAATAAGTCTGATAAGCTGTAGAGATACCAAGACAGGAAGTTACTTCAGCAAACCAAATGGTCTATTATCAGTGCAGATCCAGGAGATCAGCAACAATTTGTTGTGTAATCAAAACTACGACTACAAAGAGGAGACAGTAAAGTTTCATGATCTCCTTTGGACGTCTCTTCTTAAATAAGCAGAACTTAAAAATATTATTGCCTCTTCACTGAAGCGTAAAGAAAAACATAGACACTCATTACCTAGCCTTAAGAAGGAAAGAACTAGATTCCATTGCAAAAAATTGCAGAAACATGGGGTCCTGCTCAACAATTAATGTCTGTTCTGCTTTCCTAAGTATTTTCTTGTCCAATAAAAAGAAAAAGGAAAGAAAATCAACATGAAAATCCTGTCATTTGTGTATTTACGTACTTTCAACATTAATGAGAATATGTTAATGTCAATATGTTAATATGTTAATGACAATGTAAATATGTTAATGTCAATAATGAGAATACGTTAATGAGAATAAAATTGTAACAACACTATCATAATAATGAACGATTATATACAGTATCTTACAGTAAGATAGTGTAATGTCTCTCCAAGCAATCTGTTATGTTCCTTTTTTTTTTTTTTTATGTCTCTAAGCTTTGTAGCCAATCACTGCAACAAGCTGCTTTAGTGCTCAACTGCAGCATACTGAAGAATTCACACCTAACATAAATCTTAGCTGCCACATAAAGAGTGCTAGTAAATTAAGGAAACAGAAATGGCAGAGAAAAGGTATGGACTTAAAATATTGCTTTACATGATATCAAATACAAGTTAGGAAAGAAGTTGGAGTGCCAGTCCAAAAAAACCAAAAGGCTTTTAATATTATAATTTAAAAAAAAAAAAACGTGCTGCAGAGGGCAACTGTTAAGCTGTGGGAAAACAACAAAGTTAAACAGCCAGTCCTCTAGTCCTAACACGCTAGTTGTGATGACCTTGCTGTGGGATAAATGCAGAAAGTATGTACTCCAAGGCAAAACTGAACTACATTCCTCTATTTGGACTGATGTGTAGAAAATGTACCAAGTGCATTTACCTATTAACACTGTCATTTGCTGCCTGTATGCTGCTGTCTATTTGTAGAACTGTTTTGTAATCAACATATGCCTGTCGATACCGCTCCATAGACTCGTACGCCATTGCTCGTCGTAGGAGAGGCTTGAGGGAAAATGGCTGAAGCTCCAGAGCTCTGGAAAAAACAAAAGAGACATGATGTTAAAGCAGAAAAAAGTAAATAATAGTAGTAAATAACAGTAGTACAACTATTTCATTATATATACAACTATGTGGAACAACTGTGTGATTTCAGATTTGACTTACAGTGATGTAACCCAGGAAGACACTGTTGAGTGGCTTATTATTAATGCCTCAAATGAAATGCAGGTCAGAAACGGTTTTATTACAACTTACTCAACTCAAATCCGCATCTTCCACCTGCAGAACTATTCCTTTCCTGGTGATGAAAGTAACAAAATGACAGCTGTTGTTTTTCTCAAGTCATGCCTAGACCTACAGGAATTTCAAGTCTATTGTGCTTTTGCCTACACAATTTTTAATTCTTCTTCCTTATGTGAAAACGTAAAAATGCATTTAATGAAAAACAAATACACCCTGTCTACTTTCGCCTTTTAGGTTCCTGCCTGTCTTGTTCATCTATGCCTCGATCCCTGATAGTGTGTAATCAGAACTTCTGAACATCAAGTGCTTTGCCAGTAACTTGATGAAGCCACAAAAGCTTTATCAGTTAAATATTACTTTTTACTAATCACTGATCCTTGCTAATAAGACAAAAAGATAAACACCAAAATTCTTAAATTAGTGTGAGTCTGGGCAATTAGATGTCATGGAATCCTAAGCTAATTCACACTCAGTAAGGTCTCTAGTCTGACCTTCTGCTAAATGTGGAGTCAGTTCTGACATCAGACAAAGGTTGCTCAGAGCTTTATCCAGTCAGGCTTTGAAAAGCTCCAGGGAAATTTCTGCACAAGCACCCTAGGCAGCCTGTCACAATATCCCACTGTCCCCCACTGGGAAATGTTTTTTTCTTCCAATGTGCAGCCAGAACTTCTTGGGTTTGTTTTTGCCAGCTGTCACTTACCCTCCTACAGTACACTCACCGCCAGAGCATGCTCCACCTTCTGGTTGATCTCCTCATAGGTCCTGGCTGCCTGCTGCTAGGAGCCCTCGAAGCCATTCTTCAAGCTGAACAAACCCAGCTCCCTCTGCTTCTCCAGTCAAGTGTTCCAAAAGCCAAAAGCCCAAAGCCCCCTCCGTGACACTTCCCTGAACTCATTCTAGTTGATCAATACCTTTCTTGTAGCAGGGAAACCAAAATCCAACACAATAACATAACATAGTTGCTGTCTAACAAGTGCTGAGTACAAGGGATAATTTCCCTTAATCCACTGTACGTTCCTCTCTGTACTGCCCAGGATGTTATTGGCCTTCCTGGCTGTTAAGTTAGCTTTTCACCATCACTCCTCCACAAAACTAGAGAAACAACAATCTCTGTCACAAAGATTTCCAATTTCTGTTTCACAAGCATACCAACATTCCAACTCTCCTTATCTTAATGAATGCATTTGAAAAATACAAAAACATATGATGTCGCAGCTCTTAAAAAACTTTGCAAAAATGCTCCCAATTCTGTAGCTTACACAAAAACTAACACAATATTCAGGTTCCTAGTATTTAGAATGACAGAAAAATCACAATTATTATTTGGAGTGGAAGACATTCCTTGAAAACGTGTGTTGCATTTGGTGGGAATGCAACACTCTTTTCCCAGGGCAGAAAGTAAAGATAATACATTCACAAAACAAGCCACAGCATCATATTAAATTAGGGAAAATGAAGTTAGTGTAGGAGCCCTGCTTCACTCACAATAACAAGAAATATCCAAATGAGAGACTTGACACAAAGAGTGATCCAATAGATGGCTTTTCATAAATCTTTAAGCCTTATGCAGCTAAAACTTAGTAGATGTCCAATACATTTGTATACTTTTAATGTCACAAGCATAAGCACTACATCAAGTTTTACTAGATTAAATCAAGCAACTTATTTGGAAATCATCCCTGATATTGCCTAGAGTAAATTTAACTGACACTGCCTACTTTCTGCAGGTTGGCTGTTCTGCCTCCCAGTTTCTACATTACTTCCATCTCTCTTATGCTCAGTAGGCATCACTTGTTCTTGAATATGCACAAGATTAAAAACACCGTGATAAAATAATGAGAAAATGAGCTTTCACTCAGTAAGAATATAAAAATCAAAATCACTGTATTACTGACTTTGGCTGAATTCTTCTATAATAGAAAACTCCTGAGTTATCTGTTGGCTGTTAAATATGCCATCTTGTTTTATTGTAGAATCATAGAATGGCCTGGGTTGAAAAGGACCACAATGATCATCTAGTTTCAACCCCCTGCTATGTGCAGGGTCACCAACCAGCAGACCAGGCTGCCCAGAGCCACATCCAGCCTGGCCTTGAATGCCTCCAGGGATGGGGCATCCACAACCTCCTTGGGCAACCTGTTCCAGTGTGTCACCACCCTCTGTGTGAATCTATTATCAGACAGCTGTCCATGTTCCTGCATCTCCTTTAACAAATGTGGTTAACCAGTTAGATATAAGGTGTATTTTTTAACAGTTGATTTCTAGCATGCAAAAAAAAAAAAGATCTAAAAGATCTAAAGTATCCCAACCATCTTAAGAAACTCTTTGCCATTTAAGCTTTGTTTTTATCCTATTTAAGAAAATATAACAAAAGACATCTGGAAATACACTAATAATTTAGCTGAAGGCAGTGTTTGAAAGTTACTGAAGGCACGTCATCTTCTCTCATTCCCGTATCCTTTAAAGTCATAATAAGCAGGAAGGATTTTAGCTCAGTTTCTTAACTGTAATCATTGCTTGTAGCTAAGCTGAATATATATTTAAAAAATAAAAACAACACAGAAACAAAGCAGATATGTGAACCTCACAAATGCTTCAAAATAATTTCCTACATTATTATAAGCATTATGGATTAATAAAGATTGCACACACAGGTTACTAGTGAGCATTACTGAAGCCTGCTGTTATAATAAAAAACGCAGATCTTCTAAACATTCTTGTGTATACAAGAAGCCTTGTAAGTCAGATAAATGTTATTCCTTCCCTAAGCTTCACGTGAATGTTTATGTAACAAATAAATGCATCTGTCAGATTATACAGGGATTCAAAGTACAATAATAAGATATCACATAAAACGTTTAATCATCATCAGGAATGTTGTTGCTCTGCTTAGAAGGTTGCAATTTACCTGTTACAATCTTGAATGCAGTCACTGCAGTTGCCTTCTTTGAAGTAACATGCTGCTCTGTTTGAGTACAAGATACTTAAATCATCCGGACTTCGTTCTCCTAAAAGAAGTTACAATTACAACCAAAGACCATTACTAAAATGACACTCAAGAATTAATGCATTTGTATAAAGTAAGTTGCACTGCAGCGACGCAGTCTGCTCTTGATGCAAAGCTGGAAGGAGCTTTCCTTTAGTATGTCACCTAGAATACTTAGTTATTCAAACACAAAGAAACGCAAACATCTCTGTCCCGAGAAGTTAAAAGTGTATTTCACTCATCTTCCTCATTTACGTGAATTATCCTCTAGTGGCAATGACTAAGTATTCACTGCACAGTAACTCGTGCCAAAAATCCAGGGATAGGCTAGGTTAGTTCATCTGCAGTTCCTTCAAATCACATAAACTACAATTCTAAATTTAAGCGTAAGGTATCACACTTACCGACACTGATGACATATTCAATTGCTTCTGAGTATTTGGGCACAGCTTCTCCAAACTGCCCACTCTTAAATAACTCATTTCCTTCACTTTTCAGTTTTGCAGCAGCTGGAGGAAGCGAAGTTGAATGGCCAGAACCAGCTGGCAGGGACCCCGCGCCATGCGATCTGGAGGACTGGCCGGCTTCAGGGTTTTCACTTGTTTGGTTGCTGTTTAAATAACCGTTGGCTTCACCTTCATGGTCTGTTTTCTGTGACTTTTTCTCCGCTGTGTCTTTTTTTAATCCGCTCTCAGTTGATTCCTTCTGCTTCTCGGTCTCTCTGCCGTCCAACTTGGAGCCACCTCCTTTGCTGTGAAACTTTCTCAGCAGGTTCCCCATCTCAGCCTTCCCCAAAGCCGCCTCGCCTCTTACTGGCAGGACAATTTCTGCAAGGAAGTTAATCAGCTGAGTTAGAGCTTGCATCATCAGAAGAAACTACTGCCATGCCAAACGAGGGGTGCACTTCCAGAGAATACAGAGCAACAAAGCTGCATTTCACAAAGACTGATTTGCCTCAAAAAGCACAGGACAGTTCCTACTTAGCAGTGATCTGTAATGAATACCAAGAAAGCATTCCTGTGAAATCGCATTTCTCCCTGCTGAGCACCAGGGAACGCCCCTGTTCTGCAGTGTCAGAATGGAACAGAGCTCACCTTGGAATTAACTCTTTAAATACTGACTATTAAAATAGCAACATCGATTTTCCATGACCAAATCAAAATCTTTGCAGGTTAAAACCAGAACACGCGACCAATAAAACAGTGATGTTACACATTTTAGAATTCTCTCCTTCCTGTAGGAGGAATAAAATTTCATACAACATTCTCAAAAAGGCTTCATTTAAATTAAGTTCAACAAGCCTTTTGTAGACAGTTCAGATCATTCAATTTTCACCATTACCATTAATTAAAAAAAAAAATCACAGAGTAACAGTATTGGATATTAACATACATAAATCCCTTATTCACCCGAATTATTAGCAGATTACCAATCCAGCATTCAAATACATATTTCAGTGGAAAGCCTGACTATTGAAATTACCAGTTACATTAAGGGACTTCTGCAAACATTTTCTTTTAATTATCACTTGGCACAATTAATTAAAATGCTGGATTTTCCTCTTCCCTTAACTTGATGTGCTCGCCTGCCAAACAGTTTTTCATATCCTCCTATATTAGAATAATTTCAAATGACTCAAACTAAACTTCTGAGGTTGATAGAATATGAAAGTACATTTTTTGATGCACAAAATGTAACTGAAATTAAACCAAACAGGATGGGAAAGCATAAGATTTTTGAAAACAATTCATGCCATATGCAGTAGAACTACTGGAGTCTTGTTGTCTATGTACGTGAGCTTTTAGATTCTCTGCTGTCTAATAGACAAAAGCTCCAAATTCATCTCAGCCTCTTTGATTTGAAATACGTTTATTTTTCGGTAAGCTGATACTCTGCAATGGGAACAACGATACGAAAAATCTGTTCCACTTCCCCTTCCTCCATTTTTATGAAGCTTTATTATTTTTATTTGAGATTTCTGTCCAGCAAAAATGTGGCAATGCTAAACATGCCAAAAAAGAATTTTAATCCACGTTAGCACTAAAAGAACCAACTTAACATGGAAAGTTATCGAATGCCCTGAAAGGAATATTTGACATGTGTTTACACAATGGATTACATCACTTAAAATGAGTTTTCAGCTACAGAAGGTATATCTCCTTCAGAGCATGGCACAAAATGAAATGGAATGCAGAATGAACAGCAAAATATCTAAGTACACTTCACAATGAATTCACCTCCTATGAAACCAAGTAGTAGTTTCAATTTTTTTTATCCATTCTGGACTAGCTATATATAAAGGCAACTGGAATCACCCTAATCTTGACAGATAAATCTTTAATAATTTTTTATATTTTACACATATATATATAATAATATTTTTTGCTCTTGTACAACACTGTGTCAGTTAAACTACCCTGTATTACACGTTCTTGCTGTAGCTGAAACTGAAATGAAACTTGGATTGTTCTAAACCAGAACACATAATGAACAAACTTCTTAAATAATTCCAGTCTCTGATTGTTTAGAAGTAGTCATAAAGAATGGAAAACAACTTACTGGTCAACATTTACACTGGCCTTGTAATTGAGGGGTTTTCTTGATTTCAGGAAGTTCACTACAAATTCAATTCTAGAGTTCTCATAGAAGAGCTCATCAATAAGGCTTCTAACCGTAGGGAGAATGGACACAGACACGGTCATTTACTCGAGGCCACAGTGGCAAATGAACTTTCTATTACAGTGAAAGCATGATCACAGACATACCATATCCACTTAATAAAATTTGTTTAGAAAATCAACAAGAGAAACTCAAAGAGTGTTATCAACTGTTTGTTTTGGAAGGCTGTCAATCAGTCACTGTGAGGATATCACCTTTTACTTAAGGGCATAAGTCATTACTTCAGAGGAACAACTCTACCTGGTTAAGATCAGCAGAACACAGTGTGTAATTCATCCACAGTACGTAATTCATCTGCAGAGACATTGTTTTCTCAATCAAATCCTAAACAACATCCCTCCATGAAGAACAATTTTGTTAAAGAAAACAAGATCACAAGATAGAAGACTGATATACGAAGATATATGAAGATATATGAAGATATATGAAGATATATGAAGATATATGAAGATAAGAAGATCTTCAATCTAAGCATGGTTCCAAATCATGTTAGAGACTCCTGACCTGATTGGTACTGTCATAATGACAAGGACCTTAAGCTGGTACTAGCAAGTAAATTTAATATCACATAGAAAGTAAATCTAGACGATTAAGATGCTTAATCTACTTAATGCTATTGACAGTAGATATCAAATTTATTCAATAATTAAATTGACTTCGTATTTGTTTCCAGATGTACTTTAAAACAAACTTAAAACTTTAAAACTACAAAGCTACATAGATGTTTAGGGGCCTGGAGCATCTCCTGCACAAAGAAAAGCTGAGAGCCCTGGGGCTGTTCAGCCTTGCAGAAGGGGAGGCTGAGATGTGATCTCATCACTGTTTGTAAATATCTGAAGTGCAGGAGTGAAGTGGACGGGGCCAGACTTCTGTGGTGCCCAGCGACAGGACGAGGGGCAATAGACACAAACTGGAACACAAGAAGTTCTGTACAAACACAAGGATGAAATTCATTACTGTGAGGGTGACAGAGCAGTGGGACAGACAGGCTCCCCAGAGGGGCTGTGGACTCTCCTTCTCTGGAGGTATTCAAAGCCCATTTCACAGAATCACAGAATCACAGAATCACCCGGGTTGGAAGGGACCTCAAGGATCATGTAGTTCCAACCCCCCTGCCTAGCAGGGCCACCAAACGTACACATTCAGATCAGGTTGCCCAGGACCCCGTCCAATCTGGCCTTGAACACGTCCAAGGACGGGGCATCCACAACCTCCCTGGGCAGCCCGTTCCAGGGCCTAACTACTCTCCTTTTGGATGCTGTCACTTGAGATCTACTGTAGGCATCCTGTTGTAGCAGGGGATTGGACTGGACGATGTCCAGAGGTCCCATCCAGCCCTGACAATTCTGTGTGATTCTCCTTTTCTGTGTGAAAGTACACAGTAATCTATGAAGATGCTTGCCACCTTAATCTCAAATAAACTTAAATATATAACATGAACACATATGACACTGATGTCAGTCGACAAACTTCCCTATGTTTAAAAGCCTAACCTTTCATCAGATGAGAGATAGGAGTCTTCCTGTGGAACTAAAAGACACTTAGTCATCTGAATAGTGCCAATGGAAAGCAACCCCCAATTAACTGATGTGTAGGGCTAGGGATATGATCCATCCTTTCTTCCAAGGTATTTGCTGAGAAGACTTAGTGGATAACAACTGATTTTGAGGATATATTTTCCCCAAACTCTTGTGCAAATAGTGCATTATTAAATCAGCCTTTACAGTCTGTAATTCGCATGTAAGTAGGACATTTGGGTAACTGAAAAAACAACAGACTGAATTAATTTCAAGGTACAGAGTTACATAGGCTGTGGAAAACAGAAAAGCCACGGCTGTCTTGCCAAATTACCTTAAAGTACCAATAAAAAGTGTGGAAACCAACCCAAAGATGTTTTTCTGTGGCATGCTGAAGCCCAGACATGCAGCTGAACCCCAAACAACTTGACAGCACAAGTCTCAATGGCTGTTGTTGCCTTACTTTCTCCTGAAGCCAAGAGTTCCAACTATGCCAGCAGCCTCACCTCAGCAGTGCTGCAGTTAATCACACCCCAATACATTCACGCCTACTTTAAGCAGTGAATGTAATTTTAATCTTTTTCTTCACACTGAAATTAATAGGAAATGATATGACATTACTTCTATCTCTGCTGCTTCTTCCACATTCTTCTGCATTTTCCCCTCTTTCTTCATCACCTTCTGAATCCTCTATATCTTGAATAAGTATTCTTTTTCCTCTGCCTTCACTCTTAGATCCAGGCTTTAATTCTTTCAGTTTCTTTTCAATTTCTAGCAGATTTTTCTGCAATAGAAAAATAAACAGTTACAGCAAAAGCCTTTATTTCTAGAAAATGCATTCTGTTAAGTAATATACAAAAGATCCTGAAGAATTATCCAGATAAATATTATCAATATAAAACCAGAGAAAATAAACGTGACTTTTCAGTCAGTATCAAAGTCATGATTAACACTGAATTTCTGCCTCTTTGAAACTCAGAATAAAGCATCTAAGTAAATATGTATCTTTCTTTTCTTAAGCGTTACCAAATAGCTGAATAAACATATCATGCTATGATGATGTCTGGCATGGTCTACCCAGAAAAGCCACACTGAAAATAGGCTTTGTAGAGCCTCTGAAAAAGCCTAAAACCAGTTCATCAGTGCTTACGCTATGGGGAACTCGGTGTCTGATGGATATTTGATGGACTAATGTGACCGGCAGAAATAGAACCACAAGAGGTAACAACTTCTTAGCAGTGTAGCAGTACACTTCTGAATAATGAAAAGTTTTGTTTCTCTTGTAACATCTACGAATTAGACAGAAGGTTTCTCATTCCTTAAATATTTTTGGATTAGTAAAAAAAAAAGCCTCAACAGCACACTTTCAGAACAGAGTAAATACACCTAATATTAAGCACCTTCTGGTTTTGTATTCAGTGCTGTACAAAGAAGTGCTGTTTCAGTACTCACTTCAACAAGAAAAAGATAAACAAGGACAGGAAAAAGCCAAGATTGTTACTGACAGGCAATTTACCTTTCTTTCAGTGACTCTGCATTTAAACATTCATTTTGTTTGTGTTCTACATACTGTTTAGCTCAAGAGGGTTTTGAGGATCCTTCAAGTAAAAAGGAACTGAAAAACACGTCCTGCCAAGCACTGTATCACCTCTAGGTGTCTCAGCCAAGGCAGAAGAGCTGGCACAGATAAGGACAAAGAACCGACATTGTTTCAGCAACGAGAAGCATTACTCAGCAGAGTTACCACTGTTTTTGGATCTCTGAAGAGCATACTCACAATGAATACCATTATCAGAAGTCTCAGCACAGCCTTTGCACACTTTGCAGAGTTTGCCAGTATAGACTGAGAAGTTCAGTGTTATAAAGGATAAAACAAAAAGCAAAAGAGCTCTTTTAGCAGTCAGGACAGATGTGTTTGAAAAGATAAAGAAGCAGGTAAGTAGATTCCTTGGTTGATGAGAACTCTGGAGCTAGTCACACTACTAATGTGAACTGTTCTTGCTAGGAAGTTATCTGCAAGAACAGGCATGAATGCAAAGGTCGTTAATTTGATATATAGGCTTAGATCTCTCTGACTTTTCTGGTGGAAGCAATAGCAGTGGTCAAGTAACTCCACAGAAAGAAGAAGAAATCAGCAAGCTGCTAGCGTTTTAGAATGTGCCAACAGTAAGAACCAAACAGAATTCACGTGATGAGACAATTCCCCAAAACTGAGGGGTAGCAGCATGATGGACAAGACAATTGCAGCTTAGTATCAAAATTGCCCTGTACTGAAAACTCTCAGGGCAGGTGGTATCCATATTCAAAGCCGTAAATCACTCATAAGAAAATACCAATGCAATGACAAGAACCAATCTCGTCCTAAATAGCTGAAGTAGTAGTTGTACAAGGACCACATCCTGACACTGAGCTTTCAAATAAAGCATCCTGCTCTCCTAGGTGCCTATTCATAAAGTATGCAAGTTTGGTTTGTTTGTTTTTTCCCAGCCTGCAGACGAGAAATGAGATTCATAACGTTGAACACAATGAGGTAAAGACAGAACTTAGGTCTTCTCCTTTCAGGTTAGCTTTACCACCGCAACAATACAATGTCTGGCATCTCTTTTGAATTCTTCTTGTGAATTACATATAAAAGTGTTCAAGTGTATTTATCCCAATGGATCTTTCTGACAGAAATTTTAGCCATTGCACTAACACTGTGAGCATGTTCAGCAGCTATATGCCAGGCACCTGGATTACTTTAATACAAAAGACTTCAGAACCTTCAGGTTCTCACAACTAAGTACGAGAAGATTTGGTCACATTCAGGTACCTACTTTCTACCACAAGCACCTAAGTGCTCTTGGGAAACTGATCACTGGCACAGTAGATAATTGTGTCCTCAAACTTAAGATTCAAATCAAATAATATAAATGATAAGCACTATTCTGCAACTGCCTACAACGTTTTTCAAGTCATATGCAAGTCATTTATCTTTACCTTAGCTACAGCATTTTCTGGTTCAATGCATAGTACTGTGTTCAGATCTCTCATAGCTGCCTGGTAATTCTTCAGCTGATTGTAAACAGTGGCACGGCGCAACAGAGCTACAAAGGAACAGCATGTATTACATAAATTTTTAAAGCATAAAGTGAAAAACCATTATTTTTGTATAAATATGAAGTGTAGAACAATTTCTAAAGTTTACTGCATTTGCTTCTTAATGAGTGGCTTACTGATTCTCTTCACTGTTTTTAGCAATCTGATTTCATGACATCTTTTGAGATAGGAATCATGACTTGTGAATCATAGAATCACCAAGATTTGAAAAGACCTCAAATGTCATCCAGTCCAACCATCCACCTACCACCAATATTTCCCACCAAGCCATGTCCCTCAGTGCAACATCTACATGTTTCTTGAACACGTCCAGAGATGGTGACCCCATCATCTCCCCAGGCAGCATATTCCAGCATCTGACCACTCTTCTGGAGAAGAAATTTTTCCTAATATCCAACCTGAACCTCCCCTGGAGGAACTTGAGGCTGTTCCCTCTCCTCCCATCGCTGGTTACACAGGAGAAGAGGCCGATGCCTGCCTCACCACAACCTCCTTTCAGACAGTTGTAGAGACCAATAAGATCTTCTCTGAGCCTCCTCTTCTCCAGACTGAACAATCCCAGCTCCTTCAGCTGCTCCTCACAGGACTTGTGTTCCAGACCCCTCACCAGCTTCACTGTGAAGCATCTTCTCATGTTTTCCAATTCGTCCACTCCTCACGTGCAAATAGTTACCTGCACTCAAGCCTTTACCTTAAGAAAGGATTAAACCAGCAACTTTCATTTTTTTCCTGTTGCTCTTAAGATAATTAATGCTTCAGTATAGGTACTATGTAAACAACTGCACAAATATAAGAGGGTATATACTTATGATATAAAAAACAGAAGTTAGCTCCACACTGTTGCATAAGAATAGCCATCACGGAACAACAGAGTAGACTGCTTAAAACTTCCCTGACTTCCAAAATACTGTCGAAATTACTTTGGGAAGCTAATTTCCTTCTTCATACTTGGAACTCCGCTCAGTGAAAGCAACTAACAACATCAATGGATACAAATAACAATTTTATTTGCTAGGAATAAAACGATACGTAGAATGACACATTTATATTTAACTCTACCTTTTACATTGCCAGGTTCCATATCTAGCACCTTCTCACAATCCTGCAAGGCACTGTCCCAGTCTTGAAGTTTGATTTCTGCTTGAGCTTTGTTATTGTATGCAGCTACAGTGGGTAGTACAGATATACTCCTGCAAAAGAGTATTGATCATGCTGGGCCCATCATTAGGAAGTCTGAATATAGAAGCAATGTACTACTGGAATCTATAAACAGTATTGTTACAATATTAATGCTGATACTAATTTAATCAAAGTGGTTAGGGACTTCTTCTTGCAACAAAAGATACAATAATCCACCAACTATGTTTACTATCTTCAGGGCTCCCACTGCTCATCCATATAGATTCAAGCCAAACTGTCAAATGATATCTTTAGAGTATCAAAAATCATAGAATCAATTAGGTTGGAAAAGACTTTCAAGATCACCAAATCCAGCCATCAACCTGACCTACCTAACAGTCTCATCATTAAACCAGTGGGGCAGCCTGTTCCAATGCTTGCTCACCCTCTCCATGAATAAATAACTCCTAGCACCCAATCTAAACCTTCCCTGGAGCAACTTGAGATCATTTCCTCTTGCCCTACCACGTGTCACCCAAGAAAAGAGACCAACACCCACTTCGCTGCAACCTTCCTTTCAGGTAGCTGCAGAGAATGAAGTCTCCCCCCCCTCCCTCCTTTTCTCCAGATGAAACAATGCCATCTCCTCAGTCACAAGGGAGTGTAAGTCCTGTTTCTAGTCCCTTTACCAGCTTCACTGCTGTTCTCTGCACATGCTGGAGCAACTCCGTGTCCTTCTTGTAATGATGGGCCCAAAACTGAACACAATATTCAAAATGCAGTTTCACCTGTGCTTCATACAAATGGACAATCACTTCTCTAGTCCTGCTACCTACACTATTTCTGTTACAGGCTAAGATGTTACTGGCCTTTTGGGTCACCTGGGCACCTTGGCTGCAGCAGCCATGACATGGTAGAGTTTAAGATTCTTGAAGCAAGCAACAGTGTCCTCATGGCCAAATAGGTAAAATGTGGACTACCTGAGTGGGCAATAAAGTAGAAAGAAAACTAACTGGACTGTTGAGCTCGAAGAAGTGTGACAAGACATATGAAGTCCAACTGGCGACCAGTTATTAGAGGCCTCCCTGCAGGACCAATACAACTTAACATCACCATCTCTAAGATGGAACAGAAGGCTCTCCCAGGAAGCTCCTCGCTGATACACAGTTACAGGGGGAATAGTCCATAATACAGCAGAGAGCTGAACTCCAGACAAGAAAGGCTTTAACAAGCCAGAGAAACAAGCTGACAAACTTCACAGTAAGCACAAAAAAAAACCCCAAGAAACAACAGCAAATGCAAAACCTGGACTAGAAATAGAACACAGCACTAATAAAGGCAAGATTCAGTTGGCACTTTTTCAATCCAGTGCCTACATAAGTTGTGGTTTAAGCTGAGCACCACACCATTGTTCTCTCCCTCCCTTCTCTCCCAGCAGGATGGGGGATAGGATCCAGAAAAACAAAGTAGAACTCATGGGCTGAGATAAAACTAATTACTAAGATAGAGAAACGGATAACAGTTATGACATATACACACATATATATAAATGTGATGCACAAGCAATTGTTTAGAATCTCCCAACCCATGCCCAGTTAGCCTATGAGCAGCAGAAGAGAGCAAGATGAACTCCCATCCCCTCCAAAACACCTTCTGCTTGATGCCATATGGCATGGAATATCCCTGTGGACTGTTAAAGCCAGCTGTCCTCATTCTATTCCTTCCCAGCTCTGTGGGCCCTTTGATGAGAATGGCCTTGGCTCTGTACAACACTGCGTAGCAGCAGCTATAAACACTGGTGAATTATCAGCACTGTTCTTCTCCTAGAACCAAAACACAGCATCCTGCCAGACAATTCTGTCCCAGCTGAAACTGAGATGATATGCTTTTCCTTGGACTGCTACTAATTACACAGTTATGCTTGTGTTATGCACACAATTATTTTTCTTTCTCCTAAGCACAGGTTATTAAGTCAGTTTTTAAAAATAAATCTATTTGATCTATCTTCTCGATAAATAAAAATTAGTATCAGGATGCAACAGTACTATAAGGATTCTTCTGTAAAATCCCTTCACTCTGTTGAAAATAATCTAATTTCACCATAGCTATCAAAACAATGCTCACAGGTAAATGTTATTAAAATAAAGGAACGAGCTGCTTACTCACCGAGTGTAATATGTCACTGCTTCCACATAATCCCCACTGGCAAAGGCTTCGTTGCCCTTTTCTTTTTCCCGAGTAGCAATAAAGATCTTCTCTTTCTTTGTCATGCCTATAAGAAGGTATTTATACTTGTTACAACCACCAGTTTGCATAGATGCAATCAAAATACTGTCAGCTAAAATACTTTGAATGCTACATTCCTTATATTATTTTTAAAAGAACCTGAATTATAAAAAGACAGAATTGCCTTATAATTTCTATAATAAAAACCTAGATCCCTCTGATGACACATTCTGAACACAAGATGAATTGGTTAACCTCTAGCAGTGGATCATAGCAGCACAAGTGTGCTTTATATTTTAACTTAGCTCTCTCAACCTAAGCACGTTAAAATATTTTAAGCAATTATTAAGACAACTATATTATATTTTTAAACATGAACTTCTATGAAATTTTAGCAACTCTAGGTACTGAAAAATAAAGACATCTCTATAATACAATTTGATTTGTATTCACATTTGACAACAGAGTACTACAGTCAAAGAAAATTTAAAAATATGCTTCTAGGACATTACCAGTGGTGTTTATTTTCTTTTCAATTAGAGGAAGACTCGGTCTAATAGAGAATCTTGCTTTTGAGTTATTTTCTTCACTGCTTTCATCAATTTTAGAACACTCCTTTTCCACATCGAACCTTAAGTTAACACAAATAACAAATACAACAATATTGCAGAAGAAAAGTCTTCTATTTTCAGAATGGCGTGCAGTATTTCCATTATAAACCAAAGCTAAGCAGGCATAAAAGCAGCAATCAATTACTCATTACTTGTTAGGTAAAAGATGTCTAGTCTTACCTCCTTTCCTTGTGTTATTGTTTGTTTCTCCCATATCTATGTGCACATACATACATACAAATATACATATGTACATATATGTACACACAGGTGCACAAATGTATGTAAACATACATGCATTTAAACAATAAACAACAAATATTCCTTCATCCTCCCTTCTTGTTTAAAACAAACAAAACCAAGTAACTAAAAATCAGCAAAATATCTGCCTCCCCTCCTCACTACCTCCAAATAAAGGCAGGTGAAATTTATGAAAACTGCACCTTCAGGCTCAATTCCAGTCCTGTCAAATATCTGTATTAACCTTTATTGAAAACACTGAATACACAGCTTCAATGTGACTAACAGCATAAACTTGAGGGAGGTTTCCAAACAGTCTCAGATATTTCTAAGGTTACTCTGAGGTAGCTTCTGAAAAGTGCTTAGGAATTTATACTGAATAAACATTGCTGCTGTAATCCTACAAAACAAATACATAATAACCAATTCCTATGCTACACTGCTTCTCTATTTCTGACTCAATGGAAAATAGCTTTGTTTTCACAATAATCTCAACAACCTGAATAATTTATTTCTGAAATGGGACATCATTCAGAAAAATTACACAATCCAAAACCTCTTCAGGTAAGACTAACTGTGCTCCCTTTTAAATCTGATCTTTCACTACTTTCACTTTTTCATTATAAATTAATTACACTTCAAAACAATGATTTTTAAATAAGTAAAAACTTTCTTGTTCAGGGATAGTCTAAACAACTTCTGCTTCAGTGTACCCACATAATCTAAACTATTGCCTATATACAGGAAAATCCACTATTATCAGCATGTTAAAGGACAAAGGTTGAGCACATACATAAAATTGCAAGTAATATTAAAAAATGATTACTTCAAATGATACAGAGTAAAAAAGGATGAAAAATAAATTGTTGCAGAAATGATTTTGATAACCTGCTTATTTAACCACCTTTGAGCAGGAAGGCCACAGTTTTTGGAGCGCATATTCATGACAAGGGCTTGGAGAATGTGCCCTACAGGGAGCAACTGAAGGAGCTGGGGCTGTTTGGTCTGGGGAAAAGGAGGCTGAGGGGAGACCTTACTGCTCTCTCCCAATACGTGAAAGATGCTTACAGCAAAAGCAGGGTTGGTCTCTTCTCACTGATGACAGGTGACAGGATGAGGGTAAATGGACTCAAGTTGTGCCAGGGTAAGTTTAGGTTGGATATCAGGAAACACCTCTTTACAGAAGGGTTGTTAAGCCCTGCAATAGGCTCCCCGGGAAGGTGGTTGAGTCACATCCCTGGATGCGTTTAAAAACCGTTTGGATGTGGTGCTCAGGGACGTGGTTTAACAGAATGTTGTTAGTTAGGGTAGTATGGTTAGGTTATGGTTGGACTCAATGATCTTCAAGATCTTTTCCAACTTGAGCAACTCAATGATTCCGTGATCCTATGACAATATACTACATGCAAGTCTTAAGCAGACAGGATTTCTATAGAGTTTTTTTGGTGGCAGAGTGAGATATTAAAAATTTTCATCAACAACCTCACTGTCTCTAGATTAAGCTCCCCACCAAGAGCACTGGAAATATCTTCAGTCTGATTCTATGACTCTGTGATCCTACAGCACCATTTAAAGAGCTGCAGGGAAGCTGCTACTGTCCATAACACAGAAGTGTACCTCCTTCACATGCAATAATTTGGGGGCATCAATCTGTGATGTGTCACCATTATTTTATTTTGAAAATGTGATAAATTAAGCTATCTTTAATTTCCTGCTTTAGGTACCTCCACAGCATAGGCTTTATATTTTGAATGTTTAAAAAAAAAAAAAAAGAAGACATATTAAACAAAATCACATTTTATCTGTATTTTTCTGTTGACTCATTATATTTCACACCACTTGGATAGAAGAAATACCAACTAACTTCCTTTCAGTTGGTAGCACCACAGTGCATCATTTGCAATTTAACAGAACTGTTATGAAAAACCTAAGTTTCATTGAAGCAGTTTCCTGAAAAACTAACCTTATTACTGTGTTTCTGGACAATGCTTTTAAAAAACCAAACAAACCACTGTGTTTCATTATAAAGTAAGTAAGAGCTAATCAAAATTAAAATATAAAAATATAAAGGATTTGACATACTTATCCCATTCACTGTAATCCCGTGGTATATTTTTCTTATTTCTTTGTTTGTTTTGGAACTTTTCATTCTGAAAAAGAAACAGCCAGACTATAAGATAATTTCCAAAAGAAAAAACACACTTTTTTTTTCTGTAATAGATATCCCTACTAATTAACAGTCATGACTAATTTCAGCACAGTCTTGAATATTTAATTTGTGTAGCTTTAATGAACATCTTTATGCATTTGTAATCAGACTTTCTCTGCACTGCCCTGTTACACATCCTGTTATCCAAGAGGCACTAGATAAATTTTTTCACACAGGACACTGCTCTTTCTAAAAAGTATACTGAATTGCCATCTTCCAAACTGTATTTTCAACACAGCAAGGAACTTTATTTACTCTTGGGAAACTCCGCCTCTATAATGAGATGTTTAATGCTGAGATTGAATCACTAACCTCATTTTAGGCTTGCCATTCCCAAGAGAATGCAATGCACAGTTTCTCAGAGCCTCTGGAGGCTTCCAAACAAGCATAAAATGGACATTTGCTTTGACTTTTAGATAGCATCTTTATACTTCTTTGACTCATTTCAACTGAGCCGATTTCCAAGATGATTTATGCTCATTCTTACTTTTAGACAAGGTCCACCACTGGTATTTGCCTCACCTAGAATTTATCCTTAGGATAATTTATCCTTCAACAATCCACCACAATAACTGACTCACCTGGCATATATTGCAACCCATCTCCTATCCCAGTGGAACATATTTCCATAGCTGTCACCTTTGGCATCTTTTCCCCCCCCTTTGCCAGACCGTTTCTGATACGTCTCTCCCTGCTTGTTGACTCCAACATTCAATAAGGTGTGGTTCCAAACAGGATTCCACTGTGGAACATCCAGTCCAGAACATTCCCATGTATGCTTTACTGTTTGTTCAACCCTCCTCTTACCTTTGCAATCCATCTCTCACCAAGTTAGATCAGTGTAATTGTTTGTAGGATTGCAGATTTACAATTATGTGGGTTCAAACAATTTGATAGAGATTAAAGTGCAGCCCCTAAACATCTGTACCAGTGCAAGTGACACACGATACACTGAACCAAGGAAACCAGCAGCAGCCTCTTAAACTAGATTTACCGGTGGTGGCACTGTTACAAGGAAATACTTCCGCAGTTGAATATAAGCACCTCAATTTACATAATGCAAATGTGTGCCTTCCTATAAACACTTGCAGCTTTCTATAATGCTAGGTTACATAAACTTTTGTAGTATGTGACTCCAGAATTACACATAATGTTCTCAGTTGTTCAAGAAGCTGGACAAAACAACAAACACGTTTAGTGATTAATGCATGTTTGGAGAAGGTAACCTAAATATGGCTTCCTAGAAAACGACATCATTATGTATGCATTCTGTACGTTACAAACTTCTTTTCAAATGGAAGTATATTGCTTAAATGAGCATATAGTTAAACTCAGAAGAAAACTCATGATGTATTACACACAAATGCAACTTTAATACAGCAAATCCTTAACATGCTAGGTCTCAAATTCTTGAGGTCACTGTAACCAAACCATGGCTACAGCAGAGTCAGGAATTTCTCGTTTGTTCTCATCCAAGAGCCTCTCAGGAAAAGGTTATGCTTGCATGCTGTGTTAACTTTTCTCTGGTACTTGGTATTATAGGCAGAAAACTAAAAAAATCCTCTGCCAGTGTCATGTTTCTTGCTAGAACTCTCAACGCAAGGATCCCACAGCGTCTGTAGCTCAGTGAATAATTTTTGGACCAAAAAATGGAGCTCAGATTTAGTCCAGATGCAAAAACTTGTCCTTGGATATCTGCTGGGTCCCTTGTGATAGAAGTTACTATTCTGAGCCAGCTAACCAGTATTCTTTTTCAATTTGGAATATCCAAAATAATACGAGGGCTGCATAGATAGCAACACAGAGGAGTTTCCTAAAACAAAACTTGCAATGTGTGTTGCATGTCCTGCACCGTAGTACTGTGTTTGGCAAAGAACCTACATCTGCTGACATCTCATCCACACTGCTTAATGGAAGTCAATACTTCTAAGCCCATCTAGAACGTGGTTTAGTTCTGTCCTGGAGAAAGTGAGCAAAACTAATGATTAAGCAATGTGGACAATCAGAAACAGAAATAATCAAGCTGTCTTCCTGATCCTCTTTTATTTTGCAGTATACATGTAACCTCAAAATCCAAGGCAGTGTGAAAAAGAAACAGGATTATTAATACAGAAACTTCTGTATTATGTAAGAGAGGGAAATTCTGTTATAAAGCTCACTCTTCAATCATTTGTAGAAAATATGTCCCATGACTCCACACCAGTAAAAAAAAAAACAAACCTGCAAAATAAACCTAGTATAAACCGTTTAACACTATTGAAACATGAACTGTACATAGAAAAGGGTGTTTAAGATTTGCTTCAGAAATAAACTCTTTATCAAGATTAAAAAGATAATTACAAGATGCATGCTAGTATGTAAAAGGCAGCTTTGTTTAAGCATTGGTCTCTTACGAGACAGCTTAAAGGGTTTTATTTTCTGGTTAATAAAATAAATCTAGAGGTTCAAAGGATAGAAGTTCTTAAAATCTGAATTTACTGATCTTAGAAAGACATAATTAACATACTTATGTAAAAATACTGTTTTAGAAAATTGGAGATACCTGGAAAGCAGGAAGACAGCTGCTGGAACAACGAATAGGAGGCAAGTTATCTTGTCCTTCATTCAATGTGCCTGTTTTCAAAACCCCTGGCTTATTATCATCTTCATTCATTTCTGCCACCCAGCTCTGAAAATAAGTAAGAATCCATACCATAAAGCTGTACAACAGATACACATCATAGTCTACAATGACCCTGCAACTATCCTTACAATACAAAGCTCTTAATAAGGAAAAGCAATTCAGAGGAAGATTAAAAATAAAGCTTAAAATCAAGCTTAAAAAGCTTAAACATAAGCTTAAGTTCCTTAAATTAAAAGGGTTATTTCTGTTCATGACTTTGCCAATTCTAGAAAACTTAATGATGAACAGAGTACAAGTACACCTTCGTTTATCATCTTTTAGAGTCCAAAAAGGGGAACCATTATAAGAGAAACATGCAAAAATAAAAGCAGAAGTGCTTCTAATCATTCAGAAGCACTTGGAGAATCATCCTTAAAAGACTGGAAACAAATAGTCTCAAAAAGAAATAGCATAATTTGATTAGAACATGCTATGAACAAAGTTGCCTCTAACCCTTCAGATTCAGAAAGCTACAAAAAGCATTCACCCGTCTTTTCATATAATGTATTTAAAAATAGTTTTGTCTAGTTTCTCATAAGATTAGTTTTGCTGCTTCACTTTCTCCTACATAATTCAAAGCATGTTTGTTTCTGGGCCATAAAAAGCATTACTTCACTACTTAAGGAGCGTGGCCACCAGGTCAAGGGAGTGATCCTCCTCCTCTACTCTGCCCATGTCAAGTCTCACCTGCAGTACTCTGCCCAGGTCTGGGCTCCCCAGTACAAAAAAGTCAGTGATCTCCTGGAGAGAGACCAGCAGAGGGCCACAAAGATGATAAAGGGCCTGAAGCATCTCTCCTTTGAGGAAAGGCGGGGTTATCTGGGTCTGTTCAGCCTTGAGAAAAGAAGCCTGAGAGGGAACCTTATTAATGTTAATAAATATCTTCAGTGTGGGACAATGCCTAAGCTCTTTTCAGTGGTCTGTGTTGACAGGACAAGGGGAAATGGGCATAAACTGGAGCATAGGAAGTTCTGCACAGTGAGGGTGACAGAGCACAGTAACAGGCTGTCCAGGGAGGTTGTGGATTCTTTTGGAGATATTAAAATCCTGCCTGGATGCCTACATGTGCAGCTTACTGTAAGGGTCCTGTTTTGGCAAGGGAGCTGGACTCAATGATCTCTGGATGTCCCTTCCAGCCCCTACAATTCTGTGATTCTGTAATGTACACATCTGGATTTTCTATCACAGGCAAGACACACTACTGAGGAATGACACTACAAGAGATTCTGTTTTTCAGATAAAATAATATAATCTAAAATGCTAATGCCCATCTAGACCTCTTCAGTATTTTCAGTTGGAGAAAGAGATCTTCAGTTTCTACACTGAACAGTATAGAAAAGTCATCTGCTCTTTCATGAACAGATTGTGGAAAGTGCTTTTCCTATACGCAGTTTGCAATTGTTTTGAGCTTTTTCAAATGAATAATAAAAAACAAATATGTTCTGTAGAGTTATAACGGGTATTAAAGATTCATTAGTATTATCACAATAAATATGAAAAAAGAAAACCACAAACGAACCTTTCTATCATTTCCTCACCTCAGTTAATCAAATAATCACTTTCTACTTAATCACAAGATGAGGTTGAACAACCACTCATGACTGATAAAACAAAGAGATTACATTACTGACCACTAGAAACTAGAGTCATACTGTACCATCAGTTCACCATTAATTGTTTCCCATTCTTCAGCTGTAAAATCAGCTGCTGTGGCTGCAGGTTTATCTTTTCTGAGAACTCTGCTCCCTGGAGCTAAATGCTCAATACGCTTTTCACAAAACAATGTCAGGTCAGGATAACATCCCTCTTCACCAGACCTTTGAAATGAACACACGTGTAAGTTACACAAGAGAACTAAATTATGCTGCACTCCCCACAAACGTCCCTATTTTTCTGTATACAGTGACTATAGAGTGCTGTTTTCCTGTTGCAACTGAAATCTATCACCTCTTGATTTTGATCAGAAAATTTCAGTTAACCATTTTCCAGCAGACATACAAACACAGTTCCAGGTACTCACAAAAAATGTCACTTAATTTTCAGCAAAAGTGGAACAGGCATAGCACTTGATATTGCCACAAATAGGAAAGATGTGCTTCTGTAAAGAAGCTGGCATGATTTATCAAACCTCTTTGTTGTGTTAAATGAGGACTTGAATTTCTAACTCTCCATTTAATCATCCGGACACTTTTAACACAACTACTTTCACAGTGCATTTTAATTTCAAGTTTTTAAAAGGGAAACTCACAAAGAGATCAAGAGAAATCGAATGGGAATACAATTAGTAACAAAGTTTAAAAAGGATAAAATTTACCTTAGTACCTTGAGAATCTTTTCCAGGTGTTGAACGTCTGTACATTTTTCAATGAACTTGTAGTCGAGATGACCAATAGGTATTTGATACGTTTTAGTAGTTCCTTGATCCAGCGAATACATTACTGACTCATCACCCATAACTAAACATTAAAAGAAAAAAATCTCCGGGCACTTAGATGTATTTTGAAGCGATGCTAATTTAAGGAATAGCCGTGTTTACGCCACAAAGTACTATCTGCGGTAGAATTATTGCTACAAAAGAAAAATTTCCGATTTCGAGACCTGATAACACAGTTTGCTCTTCTCAGAGGTCTACAGAGAGAAGCAGCAATCGCAACATAGCAACCGTTGCTATGTACAACATGGCGGCCGGCGGCGCGGAGGTGATCGACAGAGAAGGCGCGGGAACCCACACAGCCACCTCCTTGCGAGGCGTCCGCAGAGCCCCTCCGGCTCTGTGCGGAGGTAACGGTGCTGCACGACGGCCCTCGACACCCACCTGCCCGAGCGCCGAACAGCCCTGGCCTTCACCGTGGACGCTCGCCTCTCCTGCGCATGCGCAACGGACTGATGGAGGAGACCGGCGCGGCGGTGTAGGGCGGGGATAGGAGGCGCCTCCCGCGCATAGGCTTGAGGGGTGCGGCGAGGCCTGGCAGCGCGGGGTGTGTAGGCTTGCAGCGCTGTAGCATTCTGGCTGTTAGACATGCGTCCCACTGTTTTAATTTATATTTTATTAAATATAATTTCCAGCATTGTACTGATAAATGAAAAGGTTCTTTCGTCTTAGAAATGATTTGACTTCAGGGTATTCTCTTCAGAAGTATGTCAGTTGGGTTTCTGGTTTCATAAAACATCACTGGTTTGCTTTCAGTGTATTTTATTCAGTCTAAATCAGTCCGATACTCTTCCAAGTGCCTTAAGCCTCACCACTGCCCATAACCTTACATTACCCTCACTAAAACCCATCCATGCTGCTTTTGCAGCAGGCTGCACACTCCCCAGCAGCGGTATCATACCGTACTGACAGCAGTGAAATGACACATTTGTCTTTCAACAGCGTCATCAGCACTAGCATCAAAATTTAGATCTGCAAGCATTTAATCAGGCTGAATTAGCATCAGACACAAAGCAGCAGTGTTTTCTAAGACACATCAGCACAATGGGTATTTTAGTATCACTTAGCAAATATTCTGAACAGGTAAAGGGATGCAAAAGGTTTGGGCTTCTCAGTGCAAAACAACAACCACTTCTTATTACAGACTCAGGACAAAAGCAAAATGATGTTACTTCAGTTTTACCTTATCTTTATACTACAGTCCTACTTATTTTGGTGAGTACAAGCAAGGTCACAAAGCAGACTGAGAATTTGCATTTATGCATATAATTTTTATCCTGATTTGGGTCCTGTCAAGTTCAAATCCAAATTTCAGACCTGATTTTGTGTTGCCTTCAATATATCTTCACTGGGATTTATTCAAACCAAGATTTTATGTAGTTCACAGGAGTCCAAAAAACATTGAAAAGAGTTAAAACACAAGTAAGGTTTAGGCAAGAGTTGTGAAAACAAGGTTAGCACTTAACTCAAAAATGAATACAATACTAATGAATTTAACAGATTAAAATTTAAGTAACAAATCCGCTTCTGCAAGTAGTATAGATAGAATTGTGATGGTATGACAAGTAATACAGTAAAGTTTAATATTTCAATATCTTAAACCACAAAATTATGCATTTATACACCAATGGATTTACAGAGCAAAGTTGCCAGAAATACTGAAGTATAAAATTAATGTATCTTCAGGTCAAATCACCGGGCATCAAAAACCACCACTGGAATTGTGCAGTTAAAGAAAAATGTGTTGCAGTTCAAAAAAGATCCAGGAGAGGAAAGGGGTCAGGGAGAACGAAAAGAGAGAATGCATAAATCTGAAGTCACAAGTAACTGTATAAATAATTTCTGAAATGCTCTGATAACTAACCCTATAACACTTTCCCTTTTTAAAAGGCTGTATAATAGCAAACATTCACAGTATGTCACACAAGATTATTAACTGTAGTTTTCTTAAAAAATGGAAAACTAAAAGTACCAAAAAACAAGGTGCTGAATTACACTCCAGAGATGTCCCTATGGTAGTTTGATGTGTTGATTTTTGGTCTTGAAGGATCCTTGCATCATTACTCTCATTTTCAGTTTTCTTACACACCTTGCCCCCACGGCTTCCCAAATGCATTCAGTTGCCTTTGCAAAAGGATACATCTTTTTGTTCTTTTCTTGTACATTATTCTGTACCCACATTCTCGGCATCTGATTGGATCTCTTGCCTTTATTTCATTTTCCGTATGACATTCTAATATGATGGAGAAAGAGAATGGCAATGGATGAACAAAAACAGTACTGCTAAAGCACAGATAACTGTCAGAAATAATAATGGTCAAATTCTTTTTACTGGCAAATAAAGCATAATAGAAAATAATTGCACTGAATTTTAATAAGTAACAGAATTATCTTAATATACTGTTAAGAGAAAAAAAAAAAAAAGGATTGGCAAACATATTGCTAAAAATGATCTAAACATTACTGTACAGAATACATTCCACAGTCAAAACTCCACTAATGAAACCTTCATCTCAGCCCCTCTCAGACACCAAGTTTATTTTCCTAAGCAAAAATTTTTCAGAGGTCTTTAAAGAGGCTATTCAAAAGCTCCAATTTTCACTTTGTTAACTTACGTATAGGTAAGAGAAAATTTGACTCCTGCACATTAATAAAAATTGAGTGACAACACTGTATTTCCAAAAAACCTTGTGTCTAAGATGCAATAAATAAAAGTTCCACTATCATCCTCTAGAGATGCAGGACCTCCACACAGCAACAGAAGTTCCAGTGAATGACTTCCATATTGATATCCACAGGTAGTCCACGTGCGCGGGAGCATCAGTGCATAATGCTAATGGATCATCAGGATCCACAACATAGTTATGTAGATTTCTGTACTCTGCAGCACTATTCCTCATTATTAGAGCATCAGATATCATTAACGTCTTTTCTTTACCTCCACAAATGTAAATCATTGGCTGCTGCTTTGGAGGCTGAACGTCCTTCTGTGAATCCATGCTCTAAACAAAAACAACAAACAAAATATATGGTTTTTGTTGTTGACTTACATAAATATTTCAATATTTCCATCTGAAGTTGACAGAAGTTGAAAAACTTATTTTAAAATAAATACAAAAATATTCAAGCTATGTTTGATACATGCTACGTAAGATGATTCACATTGGAAGAGACTTCAGAAATTCATCTAGTGCAACTTCCTCCTCAAAGAAGTCAGCTCAGGTCTTTACAATCAGCTGTGAAAAAGCTCTGAAGATGGAGGCTGCACATTGTTTTATTTAAAGAGAATTTTAAACAGTAATGCTCACTTAATATTTTTTTGCCTCCCTTCTGCTGGTGGTAAGAGTTTTTACCTTTCTGGAAACAAAACTAACTCATTTTTTTCTCTCTCTTAGCACTAGGTACCCCAATCTACCTTTTCATTGTTTGATCTAATTAATTAGAAATCCTGGGAGCTGTCTGTAGTTAGAATAATAGCCATTAAAAAGAAATGAATAAACTGAGGCAAGGGAGAAGAAATTCTGTGGAAATTCTAAAAGAATTACCAATTGGTCAACTATTAGATAACCAGTAGTACTCTCCAAGCATCACTTCACATCTTATTGTAATAGTTTAGGTTGTTCAACCTTACTTGGACTCCAGTATTCTTTCACAGTATCAGACAACTACTACATAAACATTTCATTTTTTAGCAACCCCAATCTAACATGGAAGCACTGCTGCAGACATACATTTTGAGGTTGTGACCATATAGAGAAAGAAAGCACTCTTTTTTACCTCCCAGAGTAAATCTAGGCTAGAATACAAATATATTCATGTTTGGGTTTGTTTTTCTTTGAGGTTGCTGAACCTGGTTATGGGACACTTTTGCTTGATTTCCTAGTACATCTTCCCGACCTTCAGTTTGTCCTAATCTAAAGGCACTACTGGCTTGAAAACTGGAGAATGACAGAAATATTTCACTCTTTGTTGGTGAGAGGCTGATTAGCAAATGCCAAATCCCCCTGCAAAACTCCCTATTATGCCACTTCATTCAAGATAATTCGAGATAATCCATTAAACTGTGACTTTTAAATAAGGCTTTGCTTTATTGTTATCACAGTAGAACATACATGCAATATAGTCATGTTGTACCAGTAGATTACAATTAGATTTTGGCAGTCATTCCTTGGCGTTTGAAAACAACGGCGCCAGGCACCCCCTCCTCCCCCCAGACCCACCTCGGTTTAGCGCCAGGCACGCCTCTTCCCCGCTGACCCCCAAGGGTTTTAACGTGCTTAACGGGCTTGGGCGGACCTTTCCCCACTCACCTCTCACCACCGCCAGCCCGGCAGGGAAAAGCCGAAAGCGGCACCGGTCCGCTCACGCCAAGCCGTCCTCTCGGCGCCGAGTGATGACGTCACTGCGCAGCGCCGGGGGGCGGGGCCTGCGCCGCCGTCTCTACGCGCAGTGGAGGATTCACAGCGGTTAGCGACTGGAGGAGCCTCGGCAGAGGGAGCGCGGGAAGCGCCTGAACCTGGCGCTGGTAGCTACGAACCGGCGCTGACAGAAGAGGGACCTATAGGAGGAGAATGCTCCCAGGCCACCATATAGGCGCTGGGAGGTATACACGAGAGAGCTGTGCGACCCGGGAGCGCCGACTTTTCCTATGAGAAAAATTCCTTTCTCTTTGTCCTACAGAGAAAGCAGACAGCTGCGTGTTTAGCTTAAATCCCGCCACAGGTCTCATCATACGAGTGAAGGGTTTTACTGCCGATGAGTTTTACTTCTCCATCCTTTTCGTGCTTAGAAACTATCTATGACTGTCAACTAAGATATATGACTATCAACTAAATCTCGGTACCCTGTGGGCTGTGCCATGTATCCCCGCACTGAAACAAGCTGACAAGCCGCGGTGCTGTATATTAATACTGTTTGTAGGATCGTGCTCCGCAGGCGTCCTGGGGGAGTCGCATGTCCCCAAGTCCGTAGGAATTTTGCTTTATGCCTGGAAAGTGTTTAACAAGTACTGTTCAATATTTACAAAACGAGTTCATCATTCAAGAATCCCCCGATGTAAGGAAATGGCTCTTTCCGAACTTCGAATAAGAATTGTTTCCTGGGGAGACGATAAGCTTTTATCAGTTATAATTTAATTCTCTCATAGCAGCAAATCACCTAGATGGATAAGCTGTAAGTCACATAAAATAAACTTGAGAAACAATAAATACTTGCAGTTTTCCTCATTTTGTATTTAAGCTAAAATTAATAACTCACTAACGATTTCTAGGCTGCTCACCAGCTTTATCATGCTGCTGTGCGAAAATAAAGCTAAATCTAACTTCTGAGTGCCAGAATAAAACACTTCAAGGAAAACGGGACGTGCACGGCTGTGATGCTCGCTGCCCTCTGTCCTCCGCTGCGATCCTCGGAGGGGGGAGCTACTGCCGAGAGCAAAAAAAACCCGGAACGATACCTTCCTCTGCTGATGGACACTAAGTAATTAACACTCCAGAAGTAACCAGACATTTAAATTAGTGAATAAAGCCGATAGTATTTCCCCGCATTCGTTTTGTATTTTAAAACGGGTTTGACGAAAGGATTAAAGCATCGAGATGATGCTTTAGAACCTATTTACTAATTATACGCCATGAAAAAGTCGATTGTCTCAAGGAAATCATGCAGTCTCTTAATTATATCCATCATTTAACCATTCCCTCGGTGGGGGGGAGAGGGAGTCTTTAAACGTCCATTACTTTCTCCGTTCGTGCTTCACGCCGCCTCCCTCGGGGTATAGCCCCGTTCAGACAGGCTGATAAACGCCGGTCCTCAAAGGACGTTTAGTATATGCGCTTAAACGCTCCTCGGCCTCGCAGAAGGGGCCATTTCCTCCGTGAACACGTAAGATAAATTCTTCCGATTCGCGTGAAACTGCTACTGAAAGCACTTCGGGAAATCCTGGATTCCATTTCCGAACTCTCCAATTCTCATTCTAAAATGGAACGGGGAAACGTGGCAAAATCCTTAATCTTTTCACCCGTTACGGGTACCCTCCGGTCGCTTACCCGTACACGAAGGCGCCCCGTTCCCCGGCTGGGCAGGGAATGCTCTACAACGCGCGCTGCCCCCGGCCCGCCTTACGGCGCCGCTGCTCAGCCCCGAGGCGCCAAGGGCTATGGAGCCCGCCCGCTCTGCGCAGCCTTCGTTACCACGGGAAGCCTCCGGCATTCTGCCCAGGGAGGAGGCGTTACTCTCAGAGCGACGCCCAGCGATTTAAAGCCTCTTTCATCTTGCGCTGTTTCTGGTGGAGGAAGAAAGCCGTAAGCTTTCTAGGAAAGAAAAACAGAAATTGTGTATGATTATCTAGCTCCTGAGCTGTCGGGTACGAGTAAGCTAATGGATGTGAATTAATTAGCGCCCTTATAACTAAAAGGCTTAAAGATCCTGATGCAGATAACGCTCTGTGAAGGCTCGGGCTCCCCACTGGAGGTGCCTCCCGCCCGCCCCACGGGAGCTGAGCGCCTCTGAGCAGCGGGAGCGCCTCAGCCCGGCTCCTGAAAGGAGCAGTTGAACGCAACGGGCAGACGGGCAGCATCGGGGCGCTTTATGGAGTGCCGGGAGCGGCGGGAGCCGCAGAGTTGGAGTATAAAGTGCGAAGAGAACGCAGAGCACAGCTGTTGCCATTCTTATTCCTAGAGGCAGCGCTCTTCGGGCCGCCCCCGCCCTGCCCTCACCTCAGAGCCGCGCCGCTCCCCTGGGGCGGCAGCGTGGAGCGGTTGGTAAAGGCGGGCAGTTCAAACCCAAGCGAGGGAAAGCGGCTGTGGCCGCACGCGAGGAGCCGGTGTGGGTGGAGAGAAGCGAAGCGGCTTCTCACTAAGGGCAACGGGCCCCAAAGCCGGGCGGCAAGCTGTGGAGGCGGCAGAATCCCCGCCTTCGCCAGCCCGCTGGCTGGCAGAGAGGGCAGCCTCGCCCTTCGTCTCAGGGAGCACCGCCGACCTCATCGGCTGCTCTCGGTGGTGGGGGCTCTGGGGTCGGTTTGCTCTGCCCAGCGGTGTGCGAGATAAGGAGGTGAAGCTGTGTGTTCGTGTCCAACAGCCCAGGTGACTGAGAGAACCCCCTCACCCGATACTGCTCCCTAGGTAGCATCAGTTATCCTCATCGCTGGTAGGTGAATGTGACAGTGAAAGACCGAGGGGAAACTTTCTCAGCTGTTATCCCACTTCTTGGTAACGTTTCTTTTGTACTTCTTTTTCACTCGTGCCCCGTCTCACTTTAGGTTGTCGGTAAGGGGTTAAATAGTACTTTGCGTTCAATACATTTGCTGTGGAGGATCTCCAGTTGCTTCACAAATTAGGGTAAGTTAACCCTGTGTGACAGAAAGGGTTGAACTAAAATATCGATGGCATTAGATCTGGGAGCTCAAAGAGCAGAGACTTCAGATAAAGTCAGTTTTATTGCAAAGTGTGTTTTCCATTGAAATATGTGATGAAATAGTCCTGTATTACCAAAGCTTCACCTTTATCTGTTAGGTTAACAGAATGGACAGTGACAAAAAAAGTACAGAAAACATTTTGTTAGAGGCAGCTTTGTATAGTGTGCATTACCAAGGAATGTAAGTTAGAATCAAGATCAGGGTAACTCCATTCTAGAACTCATGTCTGTGATATAGGTGCCATTTACATTGCTTTCCAGTAAACGACATTCTTTTCCTCTCCTTTTTTTAGGATAAGTCTAGATGTGTCAGATATTCTAAGTCTAGCATCTGAATCCAGTCCTTACTTTAGTTTGGGTCTCTGAACATGAAATACTTTGTTCTGAAAAGTGCCAGAAAGTTTGCTGTTGACCTGTGGGCCAATTTGAAAACTACAGAATTGAAAAAAGATATTAGAGAAATTGAAAGGGAAGATATGCCTTTTATTCCTTCCTCTGTAACAGGCTTGATATGTCCTTGCTATGTGACCAGTCTGTTCTTCCTAGCTTGTCTGTTTCCTGATGCCTAAAAAGGAGCCTAACAATTTCAGCAATTACTTCAAGATCCTCAAGTAGGAAAGGCTTGTTTTTTTTTTACATCAAAACTAGTAGGTCAAATGTTTCTCCTGATGAGATTGCCTTATAAAACAGTAAACAAATCTTAAAGAATTTTATTAGTTATCTTTTATGAGAATAAATAGGATGCCATTCTATAATGTCCAGCAGATCAGAAATTCTCTCCTTTTGGTACTACAGATCTGAATAAAACAAGACCTAGTGTTTCATTAAACTTCAACTTTAAAAAGTGATACTTGTTTATGGAAAAACTGAGGTGTAAACTTGGATCTGTTGTAAAGAATTTTAAGTTGATACTGTCTGCTCTGTCCAGGCTATAGTGGTTTCCCTGTAATTTTTCAGAGAAAAAAAAAAAAAAAAAAAAAAAAAAGATAAAATCAATATAGGAAGCTCAGAGGCTCCTCCTGCTGGACGTTGGCCCACCAACGTTGTAGTTTTCACGTCTGCTTAAGGTTTCAACACCGCTTTTTCTTTAACTCTGCTGTTCTGATCATCCCAACAACAGTAAAAATCTTTTTTTTCTCTGCAATTTTATGCTACTCAAAAACATGCTACAACTTTGTAGTATTTCGAATTTCCTCCATTCTTATTTTGTTAAGTGAGTGCATAGCTTGTCTCTATCCAAGAAATGAGTAAAAAGCAATGAGGAAAAACAAATGCAAAGATGAGATATGAGAGTAAGGTGAAAATATTGTAGTTATATAGGTATATGGGAAAGGAACAAGGCCAAATTTGTCTTCGTTTTCTAACATCTTTTCTGCAAAAATTCTTTTCAATTAGATGCATTCTTTGTTTTAAATCTAATCTTGTTTCATACTGTCATCAGTCTGATTTCACAGACCTTTATGTCAGTTAAAGTCTGTTCTCAAGTGTCGTGGTCCTCTGAACTGACATTGCAATCTGCTCACTGTAGGCAACAAAACAAAATGGCTGGAAGGCTATGTGGAAGAAATGGACCTTAGGGTGTTAGTTGACACTTGGCTGAACGTGAGCCAGTGGTGTGTGCCCAGGTAGCCAAAAAGACCAATGGCATCCTGGCTTATATAAGAAATAGTGTTGCCAGAAGGACCAGGAAGCTGTTTTTCTCTATATATTCAGCATTGGTGAGGCAATACCTTGAGTACTGTGCTCGTTTTTTTTGCCCCTCACTACAAGAAAGACGTTGAGGTCCTTAGAGGGTGCCCAGAGAAGGGCTACAAAGATGTGAGGGGTCTGCAGCACAGCTCTTATGGGGTGCGGCTGAAGGATTGTTCAGCCTGAAGAAGAGGAAGCTGTGGGAGACCTCACTGTTCTCTACAGCTGCCTGAAAGTTGACCTATTCTTTCTTGTTGCTAGTAATAGGACTAGAGGAAATGGCCTCAATTTGTGCCAGGGGAGGTTCAAGTTGGATTTTTGGAAATTTTTTTTTCTCTGAAAGAGTGATCAGGTGTTGAAACAGGCTGTCCAGGGTGGTAGTTGGGTCACCTTCCCTGGAGGTGTTCAAGAAATGTACAGATGTACTAAGGGATGTTGTTTAGTGGGGGAAATACTGGTGATAGGTGGATGATCGGGCTGGATGATCTTAAAGATCTTTTCCAATCTTGGTGATTCTATGAAAGTATGTTTATATTGCAATGATCCTACAGAGTGCCTTCATCATTTGAAAATTGACCCTAGATCATTGCAGGATAATTTCTTCCCCCCTTCTTTCCCTAGGACTTTGGGCTTGCCTCAGCTGTACTTGGTGGCTTAATTCCTGACTAGGTCAGTGCTGTTAGTAGCAATGTCTTAATGTTTGTTGTTTAAGCCACCTAAAATTCCAGTTTTGTCTGGTCTAAAACTTCAGTGATAAATTCCAGATTTTTATTCCAAGATACCAGTTCTTGAGGCCAGCAGCAGCCCACTGAAATCTCCATTTCAAACTTTGAGACTCTTCTGATTTTTTTTCTTCCTGTGATAACACCCTCCCATAACAGCGTTGTTCATAATATCTCCTTTATCACTATGATATCTTGTGCAACCTATTGCAATTTGGGGCAATGTAAAGAAACTCCACATTACTGGATGGCAAAAATCAGTCATTTTGTGTTCTTACAATTATTACTTAAATGCATGCATCAACTATTTATTATTTTTGGTTGGAGGAGAACATATAGTAGCTCTTGAGAACTTCAGTACTTGTTAAGTTTATGTTGAAGTTCCCACATACGTTGTGAGAGGTTGTATAGACAATCAGTAGACAATATCCAAAGTGTAAATCTTCAGAACACTTAGTTTATCCACAGAGCTGTGTGAAAAAAACCACACACCTTTACAAAATAACACTTAAGTATTAAGGCAGATGAGAATATGTTGTCTGCTTTGCACCCGGAGGTCAAATTTTATTCCGTCTGGCTACTGTGGAAGCTGCAATAGGGAGAACTGTAGACTTGTCTCTTCACAGCTAATCTTCTCTTTAACTAATGAGAAAATAACTTTTACATTAGAAAATCTATCTCTATCCTCTGCTAGCTCTTGAGGGCTACTGCTTGTGATTTCATGAATCAGTAACACTGCTGATAAAAAAATAATAACAAAAAAATTCAATCCTGTTGGGATAAGGGGGAAGTTGATCATTCTAACAACATGCTTGACTGTACAAAGTTAATCTTTGTATTCACGTATAAGCACTGTTTCTATTAAGACTAATGAAAATACTTTTTTTTAACATGTATTTGTAGATTTACACAAGGCTTCTTTTTACTCTTCCGGGGTGATTATTTTCATTGTTTGTTTCAAAAATAACACTGCTGTCTTCATTTACAGAGTTAAAGTGCAAAGCAGAAGATGTCAGATAGTCATTCAGTAGCGTTCAATATTATTAAAAGAAATAGGTTAACGTCTCCCAGCAGCAGTTTTAAAGGCTCCAGTTTTAAAGACACTTGTTCCACTTCAGTAATTCTGGACAGCAGATGCCATGAATCATTAAATGATCCTGATGCAGAACATAAAGAAACACCGAGAGCAACAAGTTTATCTTTGCTACAAGGGCATTCTGACCATATTCGTCCAAATGACCTCTGTTCTGTGTCATCTATTGAAAATGAAATGAATTCTATCTCCTTATCAGACAGAAGAGAAGCAAACAGGAGCACATATTTTTTTGAAACCCCCAAAGCGGGTAGAAAAGGCTCCTCGTTACGCAGGAGGCTGCTTTTATTGAAGGCTGGTGCAGCTGTAGGGAGCTGTGAAAACCAAGTTGGTTCTTCAGGGAGCAGCAGGAAAAAACTATTCCCTTCCGTTCTGAGCTCTGAAGAAAAACTGTCACAAATTGCTTCACACTCTTTGAAAGATGAAAGTTGCAACACCCTGAGAGGTAGCACTGTGGAGACTGAGGGCTCTAGTCCTGATTGCCCAAAACGGCGACTATCCTTTTCACAACAAAGGACTTCTACTCTAGATGAGTCCAAATGTAAGGATCCCTCATTGCTGGAAACAGAATGTTTTTCTCCAATTGAGGGTAAGGATGTTACTGCTAGTAACACTAATGAATTCAGTGAGAGTGTCCTTTTAAGTGTTAGTGAAGGGTTGCTTCAGACTCCTACTTGCAGTGTGTTACCTGAGGCCAGTGATAGCAAGATCCTGAATTCTATTGATAGTCTTGTAGAGAACTTCAACTTTGAGCTGTGCGATGGAAACAATCCCTCCGTTAAGCTGGCAAGTTACCCAAATATTTCAACACCTGAGGATAGCGGATATAATTCACTTCAACTGGACAAATCAGGAGACTTGTTGTCTGATCATGAGGGTTCTTTTCAAGAGAGCTTTCGAAAACGCAAAGAAGGTTCCAAAATTCTGGATATTAAAAGAAAGGCAAGGAAAATTGAACGAGTGAGAAGGTTGTCAACTCTTCAGGAACAGGGCTCACAGTCGGAGACAGAAGACCATCATGGCAGTCCTAATTCAGCACGTATGTTAGTGGAAGAAAGAAGCTTTGTCACAGAAGACCGTGGATTAGTTTTAAAGGAACAGACGAGTGAAGACTCAGCTGTAAATTATGGAGATCTCTCAAGAACTCCAGCTCTGCAAGTAGTCCATGAAATTTGCTTGCAAAGACAAAGATCAGACAAAAATCAATTATCAAAGAATACTGTCGGAACACAAATAGTTGCATTAAAACATGTTCTCGCTGGACTTATTGGCAAGAAAATGGGCCTTGAAAAGTTAGATATTTTAACTGAATTAAAATACAGAAATTTAAAACATGTTCTTGCTATTGTTTTAGATGCTTTGACAGTGGAAAGTCTATGCAGGTAGGTACTACTGCTGTTCTGCCTTCTCTCTACCCCATGAAATTTTGAAAATGTTTCTGTGAATAAATTAGGGTAATTTCTGGAATAATGGGAATTGTCAATATATTTTTTTTTGTGTAATTTAGGGGAAATTAAAAGGAGTTTTTCACAAGTAACTAAGTGGTTATTTCTACGTAGTTCTAATTATACTTTGTATACAGGAATTAGAGGGAAAAATAAAAGGGGAGATTAAATTGAAACTGTCACACTACTTGTAAGTTTTAAAACACTAACATTCTTTTTCAAACCTAGAAAGCCAGTTATTCTTAGTGCAAGTTTCCAATCATTTTTCTTGCATATTTAATTTCCTCAGTTATTTCTATGCACAAAGACAAAAGAGCTCAAAGAATATTACTTAATGTTCTGGATTTATTTTCTGAAATCAGTGGAAGTTGTCACTTAATTTAAAGAAATCAAGAGTGTCACATGTGACAAAAGGAATAGATAGAATTATCAGGACATAGATACTGTCAGAATACTTAATGCTTAGAAATATAAGTTGAGGAGCAAAATTAAATGGCTTATGTGGGAAAAAATGTATTTAATTTAGTGAGCCAAAGATGTGCTATGCTGTTTGTACTGCAGTTATTCACTAGATTCTTCTATGTGTACTGTGCAATGGTGCAGAATGTGTGAAGTTTGTTTTATGACAATGCAGTGATATACTACAATTCTGTAGTATATAGAAGTACTTTATAAAATCACAAGAAGTCTGTGAAAGTCTTAAGAAGGTACATATATACTGTTTTCTGTCATACCCTGAAAAATTGTGAGTGGATAATTTTTCATTCATTTGTTCCAGTATTTGGAAAGTAAGCAAAAACTGGCGTGAAATCATTGTACAAGATAAAAGAGCAGATAGAAGGAGGAAGTCATACATAAAACAGCTGAAAGAAGCAGCTGAGGTAAGGGTTGTCTCAAAGGTAATGTTTTTGGTTGCTTTTTTTTTTCCATGTGTTAAAGTATTTGAGACAGAGGGTGCACTAAGCTTTTTAAAGGTAGCTAATAGCAACAGTTCTAGCATGTTAACATGAGAATGTCATTGCTTTGATTTTACTGCTTTTCATCTGCTCCTACTTTGAGTACTTTGAGTACTCCTGTTAAAACCATGTGATTTCCTTCCCCTACACCCTGAGCATATTTTCATCAAGTGATTCTAGCCTGGGGTCTTTAAAATAGCTTCTAACACCTCTATATCATGGTATTTCTCATTTCACTCTAGTCTGCAGTCCATTAGAATTCTGTACTACTTCCCGATTATTTTTCAGAGCTGCCAGTATCTTATCTTCTTCATGGTATACTTGTGCCCATCAGAGGGAAATACAGATGGTTCTTAAGAGCTTTCTAGAAATTAAATGTATTATGAATATAAATATGCATTTTCAGGAGATTCTCCATGTGTGCACACAATGCTTTAGCTGTGACAAAACTTATGTTTGGTAGCCTTGTGATTGCTATTGAGATGCATTCTGTTTCAGAAACGTGAGGACCGATGTGAAAGTAATCAAGTGCTAAATACTGTTGGTTTGTTTACCCTGCTCATGGGACTTTATTTTTTTGGTTCCTATCTTGTCTCCTTACTAAATGCAAATGTTTAATGGAAATACATGCACTGTACATATTCTGTTGTGGTGTTGCAAGGAGAAAACTTAGGAAGCAAAAACATTCTGAAGTAAATAAAGCTCTGATTTGCTTCCTTCTCATCCCCCCTTATAATTATCAACTTTTACAGGAACACTTATTGAAAACTGAAGATGCTGCCACAAGACTTAATGTTCTCAACAGATCTGCTCTAAGGCCAGTTCAAGCTCAAGCCAGAACTCCTGGACTACAAACACCACCCTCTTACACTGAGCTTACACCCAGGAGATGCAGTTCTGTTCCCCAGTCAACCAGTAGACAGGAAGAATACATAAAAGTAGGTAGCCAAGAAATTTGTCACTTTCAGTTCTAAGAAAATTCTCACTTATGAGAACTAACTTATTTTTCTCTCCCTCCTTTTTGCTACAGGTTGCTAAAACTCTATTCACTGACGAAGCTCTAAAACCCTGTCCAAGATGTCAATATCCTGCTAAGTATCAGTTGGTAAAGAAATGGGGGCTATGTAGCAGAGAGGCCTGTGCCTTTGAGTTCTGCATTTTATGTCTGCATGCTTTCCATGGGTCCAAAGAATGTAACAGCTTATCAGCAAAACAGAAGAACAAAAAAGATGCTCCTCCAGGAAGTGCCCAAAGCAAAAGAAATTTAAAAAGACTCTAAATCTGTAAGGCACACAAGTCCTTACATTTCATTCCTTTTCCCCTTCTTCCTAAGTACTGACATCTTGGAAGTCTAATCTGATGTAGTTTTGCTTATCAAGATAACTTCACGTGTACATATCTTAATTCAGTGCATTTTTCTTTTTGAAAAAAGTGAATATTTTAAAACGTTTTGTTTTACCTGTCATGTAGTAGCTAAGCACTTACTAACATCTTAATTATTCAATAAAGTATCTTAAATGTACTCTTCAATATCTAGCTTACAGCATCTCATAGGTGTTTAAAAATGCAATTCTTGTCTTAATGACAAATTAAAGAAAATGATTTTTAAAGAATGTTTTTGGAAATTTCTTTATTGTTCACTTATTTTTAAAATATTTACTTTAAAAGTTGTACCTGCAAGTACTTCTATCTATATAAATGGTGATACCACAAAAAGAATGCATTAGTTGTCTGAATTTTATGCATTTTTCTGCATAATTAGAATAATAATTCTGTTGTTCTTAGACTCCATAGTGCAAGCCAGTAGAAGAGTAGTCTAAATCAAGGTGTTGCTCCAGTAATGATCGATTCTACTGTTTTTTATATTTTTTTCTTTGAAAACTGACTTGAAAACTGCAGGTGACACAGCATACATCACATATCTAAAGAAGATGTTGTATCACTCTACTGTTATGGACTTAGGCTATGTGTTTAGTGAGGTATTACTTCAGCTTCCAGATACTGGTCATCTTCATATTTTTGCTTGAATTAAAGGATAGAAATTATCCTTTCTCCTCTTTTAGACTTAATAAAGAGAATTCACTGATTTTATACTTGAGCTAAACATATTGACCCTTTGCAGAAAAATAATTCAGTCTTCCTCCCAGACATCAAATTTTGAGTAAATACTGACAACAGAAGACAACACTATTACATGGTGGAGATGCAATCTCAGTTTACTTCCCCAGTTGAGATTTTTCTACTTGGATACTTGATATTTACTATTCCATCTTCACGGAGATATTTTTTTATCATAAGCCTCTTTTGGGGTGTTTGTAGTCAGCTGTTTCCTCTCTCCTTCCCTTCCTTCCTCTCTTTTATTTGTTTTTTGGACCATGTGTTGTTCGAGACTTTAACTTCACTGTGTGTATTTGCAGGTAAGCCTTAGGACTGGGCTGTATTTAAAAGATAGCTTGATAAAATGGGCTTTCAAGTAAGTTATAAGATACATACTTTATTTTATCTTGCCTTGTAGTTGTCTCATACTTATTCCTATATCCTTTTATAGTTTAAAAATTATTCATTGCAATTTCAGACTTTTTTCCTTCCATTTTATCTGTTGAATTAGAGAGAAGCACCAATACAGCTCATTTTAGGATGTTCTAAAGATATAACTTCCTATTTCTCATTTCTAACTATTGTATTTTGGTTAGTACTTTCAGCGTACTTGGATTCTGTAGCATGGCAGAGGGTGAAACAGCATGGTTGGTAAAATGCCAAAGTTTTAGTACTAACCTTAATAACGAAGGATGATATCATTAAAGACGAGATCAACTCAATATATCTGCCAGAAAATAATGTTTAAGTCAATTATCAGTGCTCTAACTCTGTATTCATTTGCATTCTGTTAAACCTTTGTATTATTCTTGCCTATGGTTAGTCTGGTAGGTCTTGAACTGGAAGATTTTTATGTATATATATATAACAGCAGAGGAGAACACAGTTTCTTACTTTGTAAAATAAAATAGTTTCAGGGTGTTGAGGGATTGATGCCCATTATCTTTTTCCTACTTGGCTGAATTAACTCTTGGAGTCCTTAACCTGATATTTGCTCAGTGCTGCTGCAGCTTTAATGACTAAGGTTTGTCACGTGCTAACATTCCTTTCCAGCATAGAGAAGAAGGATGCAAATGTGGTCCTTAGGTAGAAGCAATAGGATGCTAATGGTCAGAAGTTTCCTGAAATGTTTTGCCTATTCTCCAGCACCAGAATTCTTTCTTACTACAAGGTTTTGAGAAAGAAATGAGTGAATTATCTTTCACTCTGAAAGACATGAATAATGAGGTTAAAATTAATGTGTAATGTAATTTATGTACTGCTGAAAAACTCATTTTTGCCATTCCCATTTCTCTTCAGACAGGCATGTTCTGCTGTGGGAGGAGCAATATTGCCTACAAAGGATGTCCATAGAAATGTGCTTAGATTTCTGAAGGTGATGATTTGAGCTGAAGCTGTGGGTTTAAATCCTAAAAAAGAATTCTTAGAAATGGCCATTTGCTGCTGACAGGTCTTGCTTCAGCAATCATACTTCATAAATCTTTCTGTTTCAGAGCAGCGACCATAAATTTCAACTAGTCTGTGAGAGGGAAATTGAGATGACTTAAGTCTCTGATCATTCATTCCTTGGAGACATGGAGCTTGGGTAAAATTGCTATAAATCTTTTGAGTTGTTTATATAATAAAAAATGTTTTTAAGTTTTATCACTGTAACTCTATCTTCATTAAACTAAGGAGCTCAAAAACATCTGTCAGATTATTTTCCTTTTCCACATATTGGTTATTTGTTAGTGCACTTTAGGCAATCCAGGGTAATTTTAATGTAAGAAGTAATTCTTTTTCATTCTGTCTTCATTGGCACATGAAGAAACACAAACATCAGGTTAGGAAGGGACTCCTGCTTCCTGCAGTCCAGTGCCAAGCTCTTACATCAATTTATCAAGAGCTGTCTTAAAACTGGTTAGAACCTTGTCTGATTACCTTTACATTGAAGATCTATTCCAGATTGCTCTACTAGTCACTTAACCATTTGTCTTTTTTTAAGCATTGCTATTAGAATACCTATTGAATAAATCTATTCAATAATCTTTTCCCCACATGTTATGATTATATAGTACAAATAGCCTCTCACCCTTAACATTTTTGACAAAACAACCTGAAATTTATGTAGTATTTCAGATGCATCTTCTGTTCCTCCGATTGTCTTACTGACTCTTCACTATTTCCATTTGAATCTATTCTTTGAATCTATGCAGCTAGTATTCCAGGAAAAACCACCTCAAGATCTTGAATAATGTCAGTGCTTTCCTTTCTCGCCCCTAAATGCTTGGATGGACTCATACACACTGAGTAGTATTTCTTATATATGGCTTCTGCACACTGCAATTTACTCACTAGGTGTCCAGTGACTAGTTATATATTCTAGAGTACATTCTTCTCAATTTTTGAAAATACCTCATTTTTTTTTCAGTAAATTTTTAGTGGATATTAAGATAATTGTAAGGGTTTGAGGGACCACTGAATATCAGCCATCCTTACAGCACAGGTGGGTCTTGAATGTCTCCAGAGAAGGAGAGTCCACATCCTCTCTGGGCAGCTTGTTCCAGTGCTCTGTCACCCTCACAATAAAGCAGCTCCTTCTCCATGTCTGCATGGAACTTTCTGTTTCAGATTTTACCTGTTACTCCTTGTTCCTGCACAACACTGAAAAGGCTTTGGCCCCATTCATTTGACTCCCATTGATGATGTTTAACCTGTTGTAACTTCATATTTCCTACTGCTAGGATTTTTCTTTCTCTACTTCAGTCTTGTAGTGATTTAGTGTTTTGTCTTCCTATTATCTATAAGTGCTAATTCTTTATAGTGCATCTTATAGAATTTTTGATGCAAAACATATGGCATGTTGTTATTACTCGTCAGATGCTTCAGCAAAATCTGTCTGCTGCTTTGTTTTTTTTACAGTTAAATGAAAAGAAACTTTTCCATCATTTCTTGAGCTCCAGTTAGTTAAACTGCTCATTGCAAAAAGATTTCATACTTCTCTTTTAAAAAATAAAATGCTTTACTCTGAATTTTGACAAGTCTGTACATTAGTGGAATCTGCCCAAACTTGGAAATGTAAATGTTAGTAGGATTTATTGAATTGAGTGCTGCTGGATACGTAGTAAAGACACCAACTATGCAACTGAAAATATGAATGAGATGGAGTTCTGTATGAACTTAGACTTTGGTGTTGAACACTAGAAGCTTCATATGAAAAGAGACCTTTAACTTGGAGATTTGAGTTTATCTTTAAAAGTACTCCTTTTTTTCCCATGCGTTATAAAAGTAAGTCTGAAAACAATTGTGGGAGGGTTACTGAACTGTCTTAGTTTTGTGGATACTTTCAGTTTCTGGTGAATGGGAAGCTGTGCTCTTCTTCAGTTCTGAATTATAGTGACAATCTAATCCCACAAACTGTTAAAGCTGAAGCGTTGGGACGTGGCTGGGGCCAGCTGAAGTATTGGAAGAATTGTGATTTCTGGCAAAAGGTGGATAGTTAGCAAATGTTAATCTACTCTCTACTCTTACTTCCCAGCTAAAATGTGTGTATTATATATATTTATATTATATATATGTCTATACATGTCATATATATATATATGTATATATGTCATATATATATATGTATGTATGTATATATATATATATAATTATTTGGAGCTGCAAGGTTCTTGCATAATTAGAAAACAGTTCTATAGTGGTCTTTCCACTTCAGCAAAAATAATGTCACCCTAAATTGCTTCTGCTGAATGGAGGACTCCAATCTCATCTTCCCTGAGAAGACATAAACAGAGGTTCCCGAAGTCTTCAAGTGTGTGTGGAAAAATTATCTGGGGCCTGAAAAACGTCTCTTAGAAATGCTTCACTGTGACAGTACTTGGCAGTTAAATAACCAATACATTGGTCACTGAGATTCAAAATTAGTATTTTTCTCTGGTTTGAATCCAGTACACTTTCCTGGTGTGTGGGCTAATAGATGCTCCACAGATTGTAGCCTTTTTCTGCTTTTAAACACGGCTTGATTGCACTGAGAACGTTCTTCTGTCTTCCAGGGGAAAAAAAAAATTCTGTCAGAAAAGCACTCCCACAAAACTCAGTATTTCAGGGTCAGTTTTTCATCCTTTCAATGTATTTTGTACAGTACAGAATGTGCCATTGGGATGCAGTTATTCTCTAGCCTTTCTGCAGAAGATCTTTCAAATCTTTGAATTCAAAATGGGCAAGCAACAAGCACAATTTATTTTCTGAAGGGCAAGGTATGGATATTGATTTGTGCTCTGAACAGGAATGCTTTCTAGTGTATTCATTATTTTAATTCCTGTTCTGGATTTTTTCTTTAGTTTAAATAATTGTAGTTGTCATAGAGCATGCCATGGAAAAAGGAATGGATAACGAGATGACAAACTAACTCTAGGAAATTATTTACACAATTAACTAATCGAAATGTGAATTCATCTTGAGGGTCAAACTGCTTTCCTCTCTGAAAATAGACCTCTATTTCAAATACGTGCATTCTGCTGATGGAAGTATTTTA